GTGTCAAATTAAGCAAACTATTTGACAAATTGGTGTTTTTAATGAAGTATCATGTATTCTTAATCATATCTTTATGTTCTTATTGCATATAATTAAGAGTTTTAACCAATCATAAATGTTCATGTATGTACAGTCTGGATAAACAAAAAAAAAGATTTGTTGATCTTTACTGATCGGCCACTCATTAGAATTATGCTGGTAATTCTCTTCTAATTTAACTAATTATGAATTAATTATGAACATGTGAGAAAAACTCTTATTTTTTCATTTCATTAGAATACCTCTACTTTCTATTTATATAAGTATTAGTATTTTCACTTTTATAAATGAAAATAAGGGAACCCATCTTTAAAGGTATACAGATGAAATATACTCAGACTTAAAGCTAAAGATATCATATTTCAGCAACGATTATGCTATTATATTTGGTATTATTGGTGGGGCAGTTTTGGTAACCATAATTAGTATAATAATAGGATGCTGTGTTGCTAAACGACGACGTTCGAACCATCCAGGAAAAGTTCTATACGTTCCAAATGTTTCGCATATTTCTGGTGAGTTATGGATTAGCTCCGCATCAACGCGTATAAAAAAATCTGGACATACATGACAGATGAAGAAATGAAACAAGCGATATTTCAAGACTCGTGTTGTTGTAATGCATTGAAATGTTTTGACTGTTGTGCAAATACTGACAGACATGATACTTATAACATCGAACAGATATAAAATTTATAGATTGATTAGTTATCTGACGATGGGATAAAGATCGATTTTTAACAAGAAGACAAATGTATGCGCGCTATGTTATCGGTATATTTTGCAATGTACGGATAAAACACAAGTCAAAGTCTCACATTGAACCTCTGTACAAGATGTCGTGCTTCAGAATACTCGATTTAGTAAATCTTACTTTTAAGTACTAAATTGTTGCTTTATCGGTCAGCATTAAAAACGCATAATTAGGCGTTTATTTTATTCAAATCCGTACTGTAGTATTCTAATAGTTTGCAAAAAGCATAACGAACATTAAAAGGTTACGTAACCTACAGTTTTGGCGTTAAAAAATTACCGACTTGATATTTTCAGTTATAACTTTCAGATACATTATGGGAAACATATCTATGGAATTTGGTTTATAAATTTCACAAATTTGAGCAAAAACGTTTTTCGACCCAAAAAAAGTGGAACGACGAGAAATGATTGTTCGTATTTTTTTTTTTTTGGTTGCATTATATCTTGAACATAAATATATTATTGTTTGATTTCACAGGTAAACCAAATTTAGCCATTCCACCGCAGCGAAATCCTGTAAGTCGACTGAGTCGAACAGGCACCAATAATCCAAATTTCACCAAGCGTGATGAAGCAGAAGTAAAAACAAGTAATCAATCGCATTAACGATAAGCTGATCATCATCCTTGCAACAATCCATGACAAATAGCCAATGACCAGTGACGGCGCCCCCTGGAAAAATGCTTAGCACCCTCAATTTTGTACCCCCACTTCATTTCTAACAAATTAAAAAAATATGATTTTTATTCGTTTTGTCCCCAAATTATGTGGCAGAATGCACCAAAACAATTCAATTTTCGAAAAGCTTCTTTGAAGAAATCTCAATGAGAGGCCTTCGACTATGACGCCTCCACAGAGTTGAAATCCGCATTTTGGTCCCCTATTTGTACCCAATCTTGAGATGCTGACGCCGTCACTGTCAAGAACTACAACAGAAATTCTATCTTTTGGAGCTAAATATCATAAACAATTTAAGTTTTATTGAACAAAATTAAAATGTTGATAGATATTATAAATGTAATTTAGGTTATGTTTGTCAATATAATTATCAAATGTCTTATTTATACTCTTTATGTTTACTTTTATATTTTTTATAATAAATAAAATTAACAATTCTCTATGTATTATAATATATTTATAAGCTATACTCCTTCTTTACTTATATCTTTGATATTCATCACACGAAAGCTTGTTTTAATGAACTATTGAACTTTATATGTGAACAATGAAATACATGTTTGTGGCTACCTGTCGAACTTCCCCGTTAATAAACACATACACATGCAAGAAGTCATCTGAAAGCTGGTGCAGAAAAGTTCATGAATTGAGGATTGTTATTCTTTTTACCTATTAGAGACTATGCTATTTAACATTGTATCAAATTAAACAAAATGTTACTGGTTATTTGACGCTTTTAATAATTATTATTTAACTATACTGCTTTTATTAATTTCATTTGTTTGTTGTTGTTTTTTTTTACACTCTCTCTCCAACTCTTCATTACGATTTTAGTGTAGATATTATCATAATGAAATGATATTTTGTAATTATATTACTGTGATATATGTTATCAAAAATAACAACATAATTTGTAAAGTTCGTGTATATCCTGTTTCCGATATCATCTGAAATTGCGACTATTAGTGTGAAGGTGGAGACCGGCGAAACAGATGATTGCTAAGATCTAAAACAGACAGATGGTTCAATGATGTTTCCATGTGTTTACTGGACTGGGATAACCACAATTCTGTTCAGTATTTTTCTTACAGGAATGTGCCAGCCATAGTCTCGTAACTTAATGTAAAATAAGTTTTATGAATTCAGCCCATTGGATCTCCAGAAAAAGTAGCACGACCTCCATCACCAACTGTAGACAGTACACTACATATTTTAACGATATGGCACTACTTGCTTTCGGTACGATGAAAATTTGTCTTGGTTATTTGAATTAATGTAAACAGAGGTCATAGTGTTTTCTGAACTTGATTTTTTTAACCATTGCATACAATTTTAAATTCTTGTCAAAAACATGCTAAACTGTTTCAAAAATATGTAATATCTGGCACATACTGCCAATAAATTTCGAGGTAGTGTTAAGGGGTAGTTGTCTTGACGGATGAAAGTTCAAATAGAAACTGCATGTGTTTCCTCTAGATATATAAAGGCAAGAAACTATTTTGTTTATTATTCTGGTTTATTATAAATGATTGCCAATATGATTCAAGGGAGGTAATGACTTTTTCGCTGTTTGCAATAAGGTGAAAATCATGTTTTTTTCCAGTCTAATTGAAAAGAAGACTAGTAGTGTACAAAAATTCCACGAATGTGACGTTTGTGCATTATTTTTGTAATTATCCAGGACTTTCCCATTAAATCAGCTGACATGATAGGGCAATGAAAAACTACAAACATACTTGTTGGTTTTTTTTTCAATGTTCAGCATCTCATGAAATATGAGAAATAACTCACCTTTAATACAAAATGAAATATAATAGTTATAATAGAAATATATAGGTACATATAGACAATAAAATACGCTTTTTATATTGTTTGTAAGACTGAACTGAACTATATTACAGGTATAGCAAAAATTGCTTTAATCCAATAATAAATACATATACAGAAAATATGAAACATAATATATGTATATAAAATTGCACAACTATCCAGGAAACACAAATTGTTTACTATCGTGAAGATCGGTGTTGCCATGAAAAGTTTAGACATTGACAACTATAATGGATTCAATGTGAATTCACTTCACTCTTAATCAATCAGTGAATTGTGTTGATCACATTTAATTTAACCTACTACAACCCAGAAAATGTACAGAGCGGTAGTCATGGCACAAAGTATCCAGAAATACAATATTGTTAATATGAAAAACAGCATATCGTTCCCATATCAGTTCCTACCCATAATCTCTCTTTATGATCTACGGCTAATGCTACTGGAATACCAATATCCTGAAAAATGTCACTTGTTAACAAAGTCATTAGGAATTTTCCATCTTGGGATATCAAGTGAACGGTTTTTGAGCTTGCATCAGCAACAAACGTATAGCCCTTTGAATCAAATGTAACTGCTCTCGGTGCAAATTGATCTCCTTGTCCCTTATATTCGTGCATTATTTCCATATTCTGGTCACAAAATAACACCCTGGATTTCACATTATCACACAAGCAAATATTCCCAACAGGATTTGTTGTTAAACAAGTAATAGATGTTTTAGTACTTCTAAGTTGATATGGCATCGTTATGTTTTGTCTGAGTTTTCCATCAGCAGTATAAGCAAGAATTTTCGATGAATCCCCGCGATTTACACCGACAGATACGAAAACCCTCTGAGCATCACGACTTGTTGTAATATGTGATATACTGTCAGGTGCCGTTGCAAAACTGCTCCAAGAATCTTTGTAATAAAGTTTGATAGTGTTACCTTTATTGAACCCCACAAGCAGCTTACCCCCAGGACCTACTGATATGCACGTTATATCCGAATTAGATGTCAATTGTATATTGATCCTTTTGAAACCATCCAAGCTAATTTTTACTAAGGATCTGCTAGTAGCCACCCAAATGTATCCATCGGATTCGACGATTCCTCGAATAAATGGACGATTATTTCGTGTTTCCCAAATAGTAAATATGCACTCCCTTTTGGGTTTTAATTCATTGATAACGCCAGCTGAAGTAGTGGCACTTGAAGGTGAAGCTGTAATTGACAGAGACACATCTCCAATGATATTGACAGAGCTCTTTGTCTGTCTTGGATGTTTGAGAACAAAGAATTCCGCTTTGCCAAGCTCCTGATCATTTTCAAAGTCGAACAAGTGTTGAAATAAGCTTGATTTGAGTGATTCCTTCGATTTTATTAGTTCAAGACTATTTGAACTTCGGATAGTATTTTCCGTAGAATCAATCACTTTTTCAGATGCTTCGACTTTAATATCCAAGTCGTCACACATAGAGTTGATTCGCTTGTGTTCTTCCTCCTGTATTAATGAAAGTTTTGTGTTTATTTCACTAAATGATTCATTCAACTGCGTAGACATTTCTTGGTAAATTGTTCGGAACATATCAGATATGTATCCAAATTTGGAATCAATGTGACGTTTGTATTCTGTTAAATCGTCCTTGTCTTGAGAAACATGCAGTCTTTGAAGCTTAACATCACCAATAACTCGAAGCAAATCATCTTTAATGTCTTCAGCTGCATCATCGAGATCAACGGCGCGATGGTTTTTATGTCCAGTCAAAATACAATCCCTACAAATTGTCTCCATGCATTCATAGCAGTAAAACTTCTTTGCTTCACCGCGATGTTTTCGACACACTACCATGGAATCTGCAAGATCCTTTGTGGCTCTCATTGAATACGACCTTTGCCGCTTTTGAATAATATCATTATCGCGCAGCTCTTGAAAATTTTGAAGCGGTATAATGTCATGGTTTGCTGTCACCTTTAGTTTCAAATGTCGAATAATGCAACCATCACATAAATACTCGTCACATTTATCGCATCTACCCTCGGCACGTTCACCAACTTCACATAATCCACAAATTAACATGTTGTTCTGCTCGTTGCTTGTGTTTTTGTGATCACAGAATAACTCATCACAAATTTCACAGTCGGTAGAAGAATAGCCCGAGGACGCCATTTTAACTGAATACATGGATGAAATGATATCATTTCACGTGATGAAATTATCAATTAATATTTTATCTTATCAATGTAAATCAACATTTTTATCCCGATATCTTAACATTTGTCTCTAATATTGATATTTTGATTTTGAAACAATGTGGAATTCTCATAAGTGGTTCCTTCTGTAAGTGATGCTGTTCGAAGAGATGGCTTGGAAAAGCGTCAAGGCCCCGTGTGCTTGTTAAAGAACCATTGACAGTTGAAAATCTAAAAAATAGACTAGTGTCAAAATCCAGGCAAAATGTCACTTATTGCACACCATATGGCGTTGTCCATCAGGTACAGATAAGAAAGACATAAAATTGCGATGATGCCAAGTATATTGGTATTCTGAGACTTATTTGCCACAAATGACCATTTAAGCTGTTCAGTGGCGCAACATGGTGAAATATTTTTTACACATGCTCTCCTGCTTTCTCAGACCCCTCTGTAAGTCAATTTAATGCATATTAATGGAGAATTTTCAAGATTTTCAGTCCGTAAATAATGCAATTTCACTCTTTTATACCTAGTTTGATTATTATTGTATTCTTTGGTACATTTGTTTTTTTTTAATTTTTGTATATTTCTTCGTTCGTTTTATATAATTGCAGCACTCTTATGTTATCTGATTTAATATAAAACTCCCTAGGCTCATAAAGGCTGCATCCGATTGTGCTATCTATAGTCATTCCAAGACATGGAAAAGACTGGTGCATGATAAATCATCCCCATTTGTGTTTTGAAATGTTTTGTCTGCGCTAGAAGGGTTAAGGAATGCTAAGAACAAATCGTTAAAATATGATTACAAAACAATTTATTGAAATCAAATACAGAAAACACCTTAGCTGATTATGTTCAGCGAATTTGAAAATATAATAAACAAAATTTATGTAAAGGAGCTAATATCTACAAAATCATTATTATAATGGACACAAATCAGCACTATTTAAATGAATTATGTTACCAATATACAAGATAATTTTACATAATTATATAGAGAGTAAAGCTCGTGAGACATGCAACAAAAGTATTTCGTCCAAACATCAATTAAATAAAATAAAAAAGCCAATTTTGACTACAGATCGAATAAATATCTTGAGAAATCTACAGACAGGTTGATCTTCTGACAAAAATCTTAAAAAAGTCACCTCTGAATTAAACACAGAATATTTTGTCATTAATCATAAGGCTGAAAACATAAAAAACGTGTCCGTATGGCGCTCAATTTTTCATAAAGTGTTGTGTATACTACAGGAGTGATTCCTTCTCAGTACAAAATGTGAAGTCCTAATACCGTCTTATCTTGTTGGACGTTGTATTTATATTCATATTTATGTTACAAATTATGCAAAGACTCTTTAATTTGTGGTTCTTGTATATACCCCGTACGTGATGATAGTTAAAGTGTATTTCAAGGAAAATGTTTAATAGAGAAAAAAGTGAATGACCAAAAACGATTTCAACGTTGACAACATAATCGAGAATATTTTAGTATTACAGGGACATTCAGTTTTGTTTATTTGTTTGTCAAAAAACGTTTTTGCTCTAATTTATGAAAACTTTATACCCAACTTTTGAGAAACATGGCCCTTAATGTTTTAAAGAAAGAAATCCAGCCATTAATTTTATACGTCAAAACTATTTAAAAGTTTAGGTAAAATTTTTAGGTTCGTTATGCTTTTTGGTAAAGGTGTAGGTTGAAGGTTTCAACTAAAAATATCGAGTATTTATAAAACCAAACATCAAAACTAGGTCAAATATAGATACCTTTTAGAAATTTTTTCAGGTATAATTTTCGATGTTTTTAATAATGAAAATTTTGAATACTGTCCCTTTAAGACGTTTTTCTCTCAACAATTTGTTTACCTAGTAAAATTACACACTAAAAAAGAAATACATCACCATTCTCTGCCAAAGGCATATTTTGTGGAGCTTATGATTTCTTGTCGAGAGAAAATGAAATGCTAACCAAATGCAAAAACAAGGTACTTTACCTCTCAAATAAGCACTCAAATACAAATCACAATACATCTAGATCTTTGATCAATTGATACTAAATAATGATTATCATTCATATAAATATTACAAAAGATATAATAAATAAAATAATTTAAGGCTTTGAAGGCAACTCGGTGATTTATAAATATGATATGAACTCAAAGGGCCATATGCAGCGCTCGTACTTTACCTAAACTTTGACTATCAAATGTAGAAAATGAAAGCCTTAATCCTAACTCTGTAAAGTTCGACTTTACCCAAAGTTCAACTTTAGGCAAGGTAAGAGCGCAGCATACGGCCCAAAATATCTGCAACAATATTTAAAAGTCTTTAAACGAATTGTTTGATGCTGTTTTTTTCTGATTTTGTCACTTTACATCGAGGAATAACGGTGATGATGTTTTTTGATTTTCATCTCGCATTTTATTTACTGTGAATATCATGATATGAAGGTTTTTTAAGCACATACCCTGGCTATATTGATGCAAGTAACGCCTGAAAGTTATTGTGTATGAATTTGATATGAAGATTTCCATAATATGTATAAAATTGCATAGCGTTAAAAACTTAGGCATTATTATCAGAGACAAAGACTTAAATAGAAGTTTTAGGTTTTGAATGTGCAAAATCATACAATGGTGTCCTAGCAAATAACAGCATACCCAGCAATAATTAGTATAAAATGAGTATATTCATCTATTTACAATAAAGGCAAGATTGGTATGCTATTAGCTATTATATTAAAACGGTAAAATCAAAAAAATACATCAGTGTAAAATATATTACATGTATCAACAATGAAATAAACACAAACGCATGATTTGTAAAAATAAATTAAAATAATTTAAGCATATGCAATTTTATTCCGCAGTCTATATCAAATGTAAAACATCGAAGAAAATCAAATAACCAAGAGCCGAATAAGGTATAAATCTGATCATGACGACCTGATGGAAATACATTTTCTTGGTTTGTGATGACTCCTAACCACGAAAACAAAATAAAAGAAAGATGACTGGAACTGAGATTGCGCTTAACCAAATAAATAATCGTAAGTATAGATTTAGAATTTTAGGAATTTGAATCGATAATAAATTTTTTGGATTTTAATTACAATGTTAACAAAGCGATAAAATTCTTGTGTCTGTATTGATTATTGTTGGCTTGACAAACGGAGATGTCCAGTATTCGCCTTAATATTGTGTATATAAGAAATGTAAAAAAAGATTTATACATGTATATAAATTATCGTCTCTTGCAAGACAAATTATTATAAGCTATTTAAGACAAATTCACATTTGATGTGAAATTGAGCTTTTCAACTTCAACAGGAACACACATCAGACAAAATAAAATGACAAGAATCTACTTATCTATTGATGAAGCTTACGTCACAATTTATACACACCGGGTATACAAATATTTCTGGTGTTTAACCTAAATTTCGATTTTAACTGACATGTTCTCAAATACATATCCAACTTTGAGCACTCTCACAAATTATTTGAGTAAAAAAATTTTAAAAGGCGCAATTATCACCTATTTAATTTATTAAATCTGGCTACTAAGTCTTCTGCAGTTTCCCGTTTTGGTACAGAGTTTCTGTGTGTAACTCTGACAGATCCATTTTGAGCACCTCCGTTGCTATTTAAAAACGTATTTAAATTTGATTCTGATCCCGGTTCACCATGTTGTCTTAGCAATTTAGTATATCTTTTCACAAATGCTCTACGAAGAGTGTTATTTTTGTCAACCATAGTCCGACTGCGTTTTCCATTTCTACGTTTTCGTACGGCGCCTCCCGGATGGCCATTATCATCCAAATTACTGTCATTAAAAGCTTCGTTGTCTAACATAATTGGATATGGATTTTCTGTCGCAGATGCATTAGGAATATCACTGTCATCGAAAGACCTTCCTTGATTTTGATAGCCATTTGGTGTGGAGTAAAAATTATTAGGCATATTTGGTCTTCCTTCGCATGAACTTAGATAATCGTAATCTTGATCCGTTAGATCTTCATCAAAACCATGTAGCCTTTGCAGCTCTCTAGCATATTCGACAGCCCTGCGAATATGTTTCTTTGGATCATATCGTTTCCGGCAGCATCGTAGATCAGTAGAAGCAAGTATGTGTAAGAGTGTTCCGTAACGATGTCTTAACATAGCGGCAAATTGCAGTAGAAGAATGAAGGCAAACACGATCAAGAACACCAGACCAAGTGGTTCAATTGGTAGGTCTTTGTTGTTAGGTCTTGGAATGGGGATGCTGACTTTATCTTTAACACTTTGCAACATGAAAATGATTATCATCCAGAAGGCGTTCATCATGAAAAATGCAAATGCTACGTTATTTCTCATTGATTTAAGGTCCACGGAGACTTTAGCTTCGTGATTTTTATCTTTGACTATAGGATGAAGATATTTAGCAATACATCTCTGCCAGAATTCGATCTCACGGACTGGAAGATACTGAACTTCACCACCTCGTAAACCGACATCTTCTACCCATTTCGGATTGATCAATTCATCACGTTCTTCTTCAAACATGTGTTCTTCTTCATCAGATGACGTACTCGTTTCAGAAGCGTCGCCATTTTCTGCCTCTTCTTCCTCTATATCATTAATATTAGAACGTTTAGATCGTCTAGATCGCGATGATGATCTCCGTCGTTGTTGTTGAAAACTTGAAGTGCCTGTTGAAACGGTTTTTATTCCAGCTTCGACCTTGTCCAATTTCTCCATCACCTGTCGTAGTATCTCTGTATTCAAATCTGGATGCCGGTGACCACATAACCGCCTTATCATCCTCCAAAAACCACAACATGAGTTTTCATCATCGTGTCTAGCAATCCAACCCATCCATCCAGTTGGATTCTTTGGACTTATTGGCATATGCTCCATCGGTAGTGGCTTCAGATGTGCCAAATGTGCCGTCTCTCTAGTACCCCATGAAACTACGTGCAGATTACACATAGCATACAACATCAACAAAACGTAGCCAGAAGGAATGCATAAAAAGTACAAGGCACCTGGTAGCAAACATATGAACTCTTGAGGATGGAAACAGGCAGCTATAATGAAGATAGCTAGTAACATCAACAGGAACACGGCGTTTGGACTGACAATTGTATCTTCTGCAATCTGGACCAATGTGCCAACAACAACGGCCATCATAAGTAAAGAGTAGATAGCACTCAAAATAGCTGCTACATTCAGCTGCGTTTCAGATTTTGCTATAAAGCAAACAATTAGATACAATACCGAAGGTCCAACAGCGAGTAAATACGACTGCCAAAGACTTGTCCTTATTACTGCATTAAAGGCACCAGCCATCATAAGCAAAACAGTAGCAGGTCCTAATATAGTAGACAACATTAACAATCCTTGATATGCCATGTATAAATAGGATATGTTGTCGTTTATTTTCACGGTTGTTCTGTAGCTCTGTAAAAGATCCATGATGTTAGCCAATGTAGAGGGAATCCATCTTCGTCGTTGATTAAAAAATTCTTTGAATCGTTCAGGAGCATGTGTCATAGCGTCTGAAGCAGCACAATATTCTACTCTATAACCTTGTTGTAATAATAGGGTACACAACCACCTATCTTCACCTGGAATACATAATATATTATTTCCATAGTTGTATATGGCTATTAAACTGAACTCAGCACTAAATCAGACTAACATTCATTCTTTTTCGCGAAAAATGTAACAAAAAAAGCCTTAAAGCCATCTAACTAGGAGTTCTTCGCCCGCCCTAGAACTTACTTACATCCTTAAAATCAAGATTAACTTTGTGATGGTAGAAGTACAATTTGTTTTAACTAATCCACAAAACATACTATAATTCCATATAATCAAAGCTATATTTTAATCTTGATTCCTTTTTTAAAGAGGGTTTTTTTTCTGAAGGCATGAACAATTTCGATAAGTGATTCTATATTTTCATTACCTTGATCGTATTGTAGGTAATGCCTTGCTTCAGATGATCTAGTCGCATAGGTTCTCATTACATTATCGTCCATCAGTGCTGATCCCCTGAATAAAGAGAAACACCCGGGACTGCACAACACGCAGCCCAACATATGTTCAGCAGCTTTCTGAAGCCAATGACCAACTGCATATTCAAATATCTGATACCATATCATAGGCCCTGCAACATAAAAATGACAAATCTTGTAATATTTTATATATTTGTATTTTCATTTGGATATTTACTTTTTAATTGACCATTCTTGTGACCAGTTAGACTATAAATGCTTGTTCTGGGGTTAGACCATGATGATAACCTCGGAATTTCAACCAGTTCTCACCTTCCTTGATGCAGGTCTGGGAAGGTCTGGGAAGGTCGGGTGGACAAGAGCGCCAGTTGTTTTGTTTTTAATCCCGCCTTGGATTGAATATTTTCGCTATTGCAAAAATAATGCTGCAAAAATTTCCTTCAATGCATAAAGCATGATGTAACTCGTTTCCATAAGGCCAAATAGGGACAAAGATTAAAATGTAAAACTCGGCTGTATTAGATTATGTCTTTACAGGATTCATATATCAAATAATGCTCACCAGATCCTATGGGATGAATTCGACCACATGCCGCACCTACTTTCTTGCTTTTTCTCATTCTATCCACCAGAAGTTGAACAGCATGAGGTTTAAAATCAACATCACCGTCAAGCGCCAAGACAAACGTGTTTTCAGCCTATAATTAAAAAATACTTTTAATTTACAACACTTAAAAGTAGTGCAATTAAAAATTCTTATAATCATAATTCATCAGCTTATGTAAAAACGCCACATTCTTGAACGCAGCATGCGATGTCATTCCAACGTGTTATATCTTTATCTTCCAATTAAGAGAAAAAGTTAAATTTTATTCGCAAAATACTGCAAGTAGTTGTCTTGAAAATCTTAATTAGCCCTGAAAAGCAAATTAAATGCTGTCTGTTTATTTCCTAACAAATACGAGGACAACAAACCTGGACGAGAACTTTCTCTGGTATGTATTTAAACAGGTTTCCTTTCACGAAATGGGTAGCAGAGTTTCTCCATTTTTCTTCTCTATCGAGAGTAGAGTTGCTTTGCATGGCATCATCTTGTTGACCAAGTAGTCGATAACCCAGAAGGTAGTACATGTACATAACCTGTAATGTAAAGATTTGATCTTGTGTAAATCCCATTAAGTTACATCTCCTCAATACAAGTTACATATTGTAAACAATAATGAGTGGTAAAATAACTCTTGAAATCATAAGTGACGTGTCAAACATAGAACATTATCAAACTACGTGCAACGTATGATAAAAGGAATTCACATACACAATGCTACAATTTCATTCCACCTTACCTGTGACCATCTCTTTTTATGTCTAATCTTCAATCGATCCTTTATATGAGCAATAAGGAGGTTACCACCAGGTAAGGTCCAAACTAGTCGTCCACCATAAGGAGTAGGAATTTTTACTGGAGCCATTAGCTTGATTTCGCTTTCGTGAATTGCACTGAAAGTAATACGGTAAAAATCAAGTTATCGTCCATTAAAATTAAGATTTTCGTGCAGTTCTAGTAATTCTGAATTACCTATCCATGGTCTTTAAGATACACTTGCAAAACATGGTAATTCAAAGTATAGTGAATGCGATGTAGGAAACTTTTCACATTTAATGTTCATCGAAGTCATCGCATAACTAACAAATTGCTCTGCATTTCTCAATGTTACGAAAACCACGACAGGTGCAAATGATTGCAAACTTGAGCTAAATCATGGGTAAATATGAAAACTTTTTTAGATTGAGGAATATAAGTTTACTTTTTCGCGCTAAAAGATCGCTATTTTTTGTCGGATTTTGGTGGAGATAAAGCAAAAATTGTTATGAGCGATTTACTGGCAATTTTATTTTCTATGATTATTTTCCATGGTTCTATAAGTTATATTTTAAATTTTTAAGAGCATACGTTTGACAACATAACAGATTATAAACTTTTCATGAAAAATAACAGCATTGTGAACCATTAGATACAAAAAATGTAAAGCGGGCCTAGGGCGGGCGTGAATAGAGCAAAAATATACTTGCGGTAAGGCAAGTGCAAACAGTGATATATTTCATTGGTTGCCTTTGGCAGCAATTTGGTCAGATAAACGATTTTATTTTATTCAACCTATTTCAAAAAGTTTATTTTCTAATTTTAGCATATTTTTTTTTTTAGATAAAACACTAGTTTGCCAGAAAATAAATTTAAAGATTGATTTTAGATCCCAAGTTTGCTTGTTCGATACGTTTTAATTCTCTGAGAATTCTTGTCATCAAAAAATTTCTACCAACGGCACACTCGGGAAGTGTAAAATCTATTGAGCTCAAACATGGTGAAATATGTTCGGAGCCAGGAAGTGTTAACCATGATTTTTTTTTTATAAAAAATTTTGAAACGAACATATTTTTTTTTTCAGAACATGAACTATGGTTGTTGCAGATGGGCATGGTCCAATTTTTGTAACAAGATGGGCTTAATACTTTTCAATGGAAATAGACAAATCTATATTATGAATCGATCTAAATGAACCGCATATAATTCTGTATTATATTTGAAGTATTATTCACACGGCATTGTTTACCACATGTATTATCTAATGAAAATTACTATTTTTTATATATATTTAAATAGGCTGAATGATGAGGCCATGATTCACATTTTCAGTCAATGTAAGTTACAATATGAGCTCTGAAACAAAGCGTCCCTTGTCTAATATTCTGACCATTTGTATACGTCTCGATTGAACAAGCAAATTTGTACGACACTGTTTCAGTTGAAAGACCATTGTAGATCTTTACTGTGTATATTTACTTATTTTCGTAGAGAAAGACAACCAAAGATGGGCGCCACCTTGAAGGCAAACAATATCACTTCAATGGATTTACTATAATTGTTCAGAACTATTTTATACAGCTTGATTGTTCTCCATATTATGCCCAGGAGACAATTTCATAGAACGATTGCCCAATTTTAATATTATTATCTTTATTTGTTGTTTGTCTGCATTATATCTGCTGTATCGATATCGCATATCATATGTCGTCTATTTGCAGCTATAAACAACATGAAACTCGAACCGTATGATTAGTTGATTAATTGATCTCTCATATATTGCGATCTGAAACTAACCGGGCGTATTTTGGATGGTAAAAGAAAAATAACTTATAATAACAAATCATTGACGCAAATCGTTAAAATCAAATTCGTTGCGATTACAGGAGAATGTAGATAGACGCCAGGTACTCTAAAGTACGTCCACAATGGATAGACAAAATTTGTGAAGAATAATAAAATGCTTTCTGTAAGTGTCCATTATGGTTAAAGTGAAATCGAATCATGTTCTATTATGGTTTTATAAACTCAAACGAATTTACCTTGCAGCCTCATCGACCAAATCAACCAGTTGAGTAACGAAGGTATTTGGCATCCATTCCCCTTTTTCATTCACTTCCATAGCATCATCCACAAAAATATTGGCTGAAAGAAAAACGGGGCACATTTCATGAATAATATCGTGACTACACACATTAGGCTGTGAGTTCCATAAAATACATTGTTAGTTAGGTTTTACTATCTGTAGCAGAGATAAGCGTTGCTTCGACTTGTGTTTATGTTCTATTTGAACATTGATCAACCAAATCATTATTGGTCAAATCATTATTTCAATTCTTTTAAGTCAATAAATTGAATCTTTTTGTAAGAACTCTTTAGAGAGAAAATGACTGTTTGTTAACAAAGTCGTTTTAAATATTGATCTGAGGATAACTTTGCCTATGCTTTTGCGATAAATTTGATATGGTCTGAATAAGGCGTTCAGCAGTATGATTGAGATAGTATATTTCTCACAATACCGATGTTTATTGTATATATTTCAAGGTAACATTCTATACATTACTATCAAGTGACCTGGGTGCGGAAAAAGCAAACATACACCGCAAATGAAAACTAAAGAATGACCGAAAGAGTATTTGACGAACACATATTTACTGTATCTTTCCCAATATGCTCGTAGGTTTGAAATCAATACCTATACATACATGGACTTTTCATGGGTCGATATCACAAACGATGCTGCCATATTCTCCTTTACTCAGGTATTTTTCAGAATTCTTTCCAGCGTTTGTATATTTTTCTTTCCAGCTTTTGTATATTTTGAGAAACATTTTCAACTCAGTTTTCGAGAAACTGTACATACTGTCATGACGTTGGCCTACGTCCGAATGATCAAATCCTTTTTCTATTTCCCCCCACTTAACATAAATCCACATTTAAGGTATAATATCTTTAAGACAATATCGATTTCAAATTATGGTATTATTGCATATTATTTTAACTTTTTGTCTTTCTGGGATATCAGGAATGCAGATCATGATGCATGAATTAATCAAAATAGTCACTAAGTTACCCGTGGTTTTATACATAAAATATTACCTTCGAATTCGTAAAAATCAGGATCTTGAACACTAAAGTAATCTTGAGCATTTCTTCTTGCACTCTGATCGATGTCTAGTCTGAAAAACATAATAATATTTTGAACCAAATTATGTTTGCCGCTTAAAGCATGCTTAATTACGTTGAGACATTTTCAGTCATACATTTAAATAAGTTGTTCACAACATTCGACAACTCTTGATTCATAGTCAATGGTCAAAAGTATGGAAGATGTACAGAATAGAAAAGCGTTACAGAAGGAGAATCGTTACATTAAATATAAACAGATTATGGTCCAGATACTTATATTGATTTGATGGATTTTGATACCCTATGACGAGAGTAAAGGCATTATGATAAACGTTTCTTACCGGAATAACGATTTTAGAATTTGTATCATTTCGTTTTCTGTTTCATGCCACATTGTAGCACAGACGTAAATTTTGGGTACAATCTGCTCCCGTTGCTTTCGCATTGCATCAGTAGAGTTGCTGTCCATCGAAGCATCGTCATTAAAAGCAAGTTCTTTGAGTATTCTTTCCTTATCATTGCGTCGCCTGTTTAACAGTAGAGACTGTTCGATCAATGCTCCACAGTACAAAGGTAGAATAAACAGCCTGGAAAGAAAAATATGAAAAAAAAACAGTCATTCTGATGTTTTTGAAAAAGATTTCCAAGATTGCTTGATATCTTAGAGTAGTCACTATATGGACAATTGATTTTTTTTTTTAATTTTTTGTACGTCGGATGAATGTAGAACAGAAATTTGGTGACACTAACGGGAAACAAATGTCCTAATCAAAACTGGTATATCAAAGAAAGATTATATAGAAATAGAATGTGAAGAGTCTACTAAGTATGTGTTAGAACAATACTCTACATAAAAGTGAAGTGCATGTCATCGTCACAAAAGTCCAATTAGTGGACAAGTCGCTCCAAATTTAACATTACAATGGATCTTTGTCACCGTATCACCGACATTCAATATTTACAGTTAGTCCTATATTTCATTAATGTGAATGTGAATGCTAAAATTCAAACAGATGTTACCTTTCTGTAAAAGCCAATCTTGGCGCTTTTGGTGTCCAAATGTACCTAGTAATCCACAACTGCGAAGCCCACCATAATCCAAAACCTAATCCAAGATGCCATATAAGCCACTTTTTATCATGTGTTTCTTTTTCACTACAAGCCCACATAAGAAAATCATCCATTAGAACTGTTTTCTCCGGTCTTAAATAACACACAGTTATGATACTTGCAACAGCAACAGGTGTAGCCAAGCTTAGTGGTATCGCAAATGAGAACCGTTGCATACACAATTTACAAGCCAACCTTGCGAAGTAATAACACAATCCAGAAGCACAAACTTGAAGCAGTAAAGGCATGTATGTGAACCAGTTTCGCCATGGATCGGAGGGGATGCGGCTACATACAGTCTCATTTAGGCCATACTTTAGTAACATTGAAGCATTCATGTTGGAACAATTAAATGTGTCCGATTGAAAATCCGATTTAAGTTCGTATAATTTGAAATCCGTCGGTCCTTCCGTTTCCGCTATTGGTGGTGTAGTCGTCATTGATGGCGGAAAAGCTGTAGCATTTAAAAGTAGCCCATAATCTTCTGGGTGAAATAAGGCACCGAAAGCCTTGTGTACCATACTCAAATTAGGCACTAATAAAAAGGCAAATCCAAAAGTAAGACCGACTTTCCATAAATTTGCAATCAAATACGATTTGACACGGACTTTATGAAGGGTATCCTTGTAATCTTTAACTGGTATTTGAATGCATCCTAATCGAAAGTCTTTATCAACAAAGTTTTCCCACCAGTTCACAGAAATTAAAACTAAAGCTAGTGGTATTTCCCAAGACATGTCTGAAAGAGCATAAGTAGATGACCAAGCAGAGGTTTGTGGAAGACTTTGTGGTGGTGGTGGAACAACTTTAGGAACATCGACAGAGTCTTCAACATCTTCGCCTGCAGTTTTAACACATTCGGATTTCATGGAAACCATGACTATAACAAAGGCCGATAACTGCATACAAACAGACAGAAAATCCAATATAACTGTAGTTATTTTACGTCTGGCATCTTCTGATCTTTTGGTGGCAAACAGTCTTAGAATGGCAGGCACTGAACACAATGCATTCATTAAAAGTAAAGATCGTACTGTATCTAAACATGGTAACACTCTAAACATGAATAAACATAAACCTAAAGAATGGATACTTTCTATCATGAGAATCTGAAATGAAAATGAAAACAAAATATAGATATTATCTTTTAGTCTCTCTTAAGTTGAAAATAATATTACAATATAGAGGATATATACCCTTTTTGTGATATATTAAGAAAAAAATTCATATTCTGAAAATCGAAGACAGAATTTCTTGGCTGATGGTGGATGGTGATACTTAACCTGCCTTTTTGAGACTAGTGATGATGGATTTAACTCAGTAGTGAGTTAAAATACAAACAATACTCAACATAATTGTAATATTTTATAGAAAGGATGGATATGTTTATTTACCCATGATAAGTTTCCTATAGATGGTCTGGGATAATTTCCAAACATTACTTTAAACAGACATTCCATAAACGATACCAAATATGGAAGACACATTACTGCTATAACCATATAAACCCATCTATCTCTGTTCTCCCAGCCCTACAATATATAATTGATCATTTAATAATGTGATAGATTGAAAATAATAACTTGGGGCCTTATTCTCCAAAATTTAATTTAAATAAAATCGAAATTTTGATAAATACAGTAATCTGATTGGATAACAAAACTAAATAGAAAATCAATTTTAGTGATTGACCAATCAGATGACTGGAAAAACTAAAATTGCCTAAGAATACGTTTTCTGAAAGTGCAAAGTGCCCCTGAAGGTAAAATGACATATCTTTTCTTTTTTCCTCTGAAAGAACGCTCATGTTTGTATATTTTTTCATTTTCATTTAGGTTATTTGAATTGTTTAATACCGACAGAGTTCTTTTGTATCAAAATATACCAAAGCTTACGAAGGTGGCAAATTTCCACACAAGTAATCTTAAAGTGCATTTCTTACACGAACTTTTAAAAAATCGATTCAATGCTGATGCAAAGACGTAAAAGGGTTACAGTCATCCGATATACATGTAATAACATTTTGTTTTGGTCTTCATAATATTGCATACGCACCTGCTTGACATTCCCAATAGCATGGGTCATCAATAATAAACTCCCTTTACTGGCTAAGGCACTGGTTAATACACAAATAAATATACACAGGTATGCAAATACTTTCAGAGTTTTGGCCGCTACTTCAAACCAATTTGTTGATGCTTCATAAATAGTTTCGCTTCTCCGAGAAACTGTTTTGAACAGGTCCCATGGTTGGAAACTGAAATGAAAATTGTTTTTCGTACAAATGAATGCCAAACTTTGGGGCGGTAAAATATTTCTGAAGAAGATAAAGTAAATTCCATATATAGGGGATGGTGTTTGTAAAGGTATTGTAAGTTTTGTGTGTGTATTGAGGACATGTGGAGCTCCTTTTAGCACAATTTGTAACTTTTCTCGTTATGGTTCGCAAAGACCTTGACCAGAAAAGGACCATCACTCTAGCTTCATCAAAATTACCAAGCAGTTGTTGGTAAAATCGAAATATTTTCGGTTGAATCTTGGTAAAGAATATAAGTTGCTTATGTTGCCCTTAAAGTATATCATTTAATTGAGTACACAATATATATACATGCCCGGTTTAGAACAGAACAATTATTCTTTCAGCAGTATAATTCAACAAAGCAATGCATCTTTAGAAAACTCTAATTGGCATGTCACCAAAATGGGTTTCAATTAAGTGCGGTATTCGTTATCAAACCCAATTCTCAGAGAAAACAAAATTAAAGCTTTATCAAATACCAAATTTTTAAATTCAAACAAAATAGATCACAAAATTTGACAAAAATCTAAAACTTTATTTCATCAGGATTAGGAAAAAGCTCCGAAATGAAGTTTGATAATAAGATTAAAAGTGTTTATTTTCAGATATTAAAATTTAAAAAGATTAAACTCTCTATAAAACTAATCCAAGAAACGCCAAAGTTTCTGTAAAGAAATCCCAAGAATTCAGGACTGAATTTACTTCGGCAGTCTGAAAGTAAATATTTTAACAACCTCATAAACGAATGTTTGTCGTCAAAACATTTTGGCGGTTTATATTTTCCTTAATTGTTTGCTTTTTTAGAAAATTGTGATTCAATGATTAATCAATGGGGTGACGGTTGCAATTTTAAGCTTATGGATTTGAAGTTAAGTAATATGGTATGGATAATGAACACTTTTATAATCGCTTCAAGTATACCTTATATATAAAATAAAATCACAAGAGAAGACATCTGATTGGAATTTGAAAAACAAACATTTTATCAATCTCCACATAATCTGATATTAGATGTGTTTCAGAGACCAGGTAATTTTCCATGCATAGGAGTTTTAGCATTAGAGCCATAAACGTAACGTATGGAAAATTTTGTCTGGTCACACGCAAAATGTCCTTTATATGAAGTTCTTAAAGTATTGAAAAAAGGTTTCCAGTTCTTGTGAATGTGAATCAGTGAGACATTCAGATTTCATTTGCACCATAACCATTTCAAGTATGGTGTCTGAATATTCAAAATAATGCTTTTAAAATCACAGCAGAAACTACAAAGAAAGGGCAAAGAGCTACATTTCCATGGGTTACTTTTGTGTTCTAGGTTCTAATTTCAATGTCTGAAATTTAATAATTATTAACTTTGTACAAGGATATTGGAAACTAAAAGGCCAATATAGACGTTATAGTTGGAATCTCTACCCAAGACTTCGACCAATATATCATCTAAAATCTATAAAGTGTTTCTCATGTTAAAAAAAACTTTACCACAAGTGAAAATATGAGGTAATTAACTAAACTATGAATCATTTTTTACACAAATCTTATTAAAAATACTGATCAACTGATATTTCTTTCTAACAGATTAATAGTGAATCCCATTCGGATATATACTCTTAGAAAAATAGATAACCAGTTGTGGACATGTAATTTCTGTAAGATCTTGATCTTAAGGTTCAAAATTTGTGTATAGCAACATTCAAGAATTGGTTATGTCAAAAGCAAACAGTGGAATGTAAATAAGTAGAACCCAAATTGGTTGACACAATTTACATGAAAACAAAACCCGACGAATACATTTTTTTTTCATTCTGTTAAGGCAACAAGGTTAAAAGTTAACAAACAATATTAAACTTCTCAGTCGAAAGTATAGCCCTCGTTTTGTTTGAGAATCCGTTACGTTAGACGATTTCATCCGCTGATTAACTTGGCCAAGTTAACTTATAATCTGTTTAAGCTAGCAGACAATAGGAAAGGTCTTCTCATTACCATACACACAAGGTAAAGACATAGCAATTGAATAACACAGCCCAACATTGTCATCGGTTTACTTTTCCACAGCCATAAGTCAACAAGACGTCCGAAATGCTTCTTTATAAGACTGACCCATTAAGTATACAATGAAGTAGAAGAAAATATCTGCAAAAAACAGAAGAACAAACCTTTCAAAAGTCATCCTATCAAAATCCAAATTCTTTAGATCAATTATCCATTACGAGTTCAATTTGATAAAAGTTATCCTCCATTATTCGTCACCTGCAACCAGGTATTGCAACTACATGTTGGCCATTTGCCGAACAGAATCATGGGTATAAAGCGGACTGGCTAGCAAATGTCACCATACTTTGTGGTTTGACAAGGCGATCAATGATTTCTTCCTGTTAGTATTACGAAGATTGGGTGATCTCTAAACACATCAATGTTTACTTAAATTGACGAATATGTTTTAAATGGCAGCCAAATTGCATCTAAAAATAAGATAGTGGACTTGCTCCAAATAACAATTCGTCACCATTGTGGGCGCCGAATTAATCTGAATTGCAATTTCGACTAAGTCTTGTAACCTCAAAGAAAAACGTTTTCTTAAGGTGATGGAAAAACAGTTTCTCATGCGCGGATTAACATAAAATTGGTAAAGATATTTGGCTAAACCGATCGGTTTATACGAAGTGATCAATAGAGTCAATAGAAATCGGGAATATGCGTCTAGTATCAAGATTCTGAGCTAACATTAGCTTCCTATTACACGGTTTCTTGTTAAACTGACTTTCAACCAATCAATTTGTAACAATGACACTCATATCATACCAAATTCTTTCACATTTTCACAAAACATTTTTTATTGCACTATTCTGGTTTAAGATTAAATTGCAGTTCTTTAGGCGTATCAATTTCCACCTTTGTCTTGTGTAATTAATTGAAAGATAATCACAAAAACGTGCAAATCATGTCATTCTCATTGCCTACCTAAATCGTCGTGAGTGGATTTGTTTTTCTTTAACTTAATGAATAAACTCTATCATGGTGTACGCGATATAGCAAGTTTATTTAACATTCATCCCTTTCGTTTTAATGAGTTAAATCAATGATGATAAGATAATCGTGACTTCCAAATACGTCATTGTCGACATTTTTCTTGAGTAGAATTGATTTAAAAGGATGTTTAAAGTTTGTAGCACAAGGGTTTTAACAATGGAGCGATAATCGTACGATTATGTCAGATTTCTAACACTATGTTTGCGTTTCCTATCGTCTGTGACTTTTGACAAATCCAATTTAAATCGTTTAACTCGATAAGGAGGTCGGGATCACCTTGCTCTTTTCTTGACAAGCCTTTCGCACTGAGATTTTTCAACTTCTTAGTAATCTTTCTACGAATCCTTTAACAAACTTATTGAAACCATTTCAACATTTCACCAGGGAGGGTCCCAACAATTTCACACTTGTACAGCTGAGAACAGTGGAATATTTCAAATGATACGTAAAATATACCCTTATTATATATCCATGGAACTAATTAAGAAGCAAAATTCAATAGTCAATTGCATGTGCTTTTTTCTCACGTAAGTCACGTTGCCTTTTATATTTGAATCAGATATTAAATTTTCAATTTGCTATTTTTTTTTTAACAAAATCAGTGTTTTTGTAGGATAAATAAAAGTATGCGTGCCTCTTTCCAATCTGTTTGAAAATACCAATGAGGTAACCCTTAATTTTTTGCACTCTTAATATCGTTCCATTATTAAAGTATTGATTTTCGTGTAATACAAGTTTCCAAAATGTCTGGAAGACTAAGGCTCAACCCAGTCAGTTCTAGATTCATTCTGTTACACTTCATCACTTCTCCAACACTACCTAATGATGTATTTGATGTATTTTTGGAAGTAAATTGACCGTTTTCTTCCCACAGTTTGCAGATAGGACTCATACTCATACTCAAACCAAAGCCACAAGAAACGGAGAAAAAAACTGGTAAAAACTGTTGAAGCATGTCATAAGTTATTGCAAAACTGGCTAAGATCAATGCCACATAGTTAACTGAACTTGATATGTTGACAAATGGATAAATGTAACGTTGTGAAAAATAAATACGTTTAAAATTGTGACTCTTGTGATCTGTGTATAAATTGTAGATTATAAGATTTCTGACCGGTTTGTTTAATGTCGCATCAACCAATTAACTGAAGTAATGACCAGTAGCTTTGCATGTCCTCCAGAGAAAGATGTAATGAAGGAACGTTTCAGACAAACGGTTATCTTGGTCGAATACAGACCTGGGCAAAACTGGATTGTCCCTAATAAAATGATTTTTTATGTGCAATAGAGCTTAATATGTCGAATTGCATTATAAGCTATGTAGATATAAATTATACATGATCCAGAAATGTGTTGGTTGTAAAAGCTACAGATCGTAACGTCTAAAGACGCATGATATGCCAGATGGGGTATTCCGTCAAATTAGAAATGTCAATTATATTCTCAGAATTGGTCTGCAATTTCTATTCTGTTTCAGTTCTGAATAAATTCTGACTTGTTTATATATTCATTGCTTCTAAATTTGTCAGGATCAAAGCATAATGAAAATGGTGGTTTTAAAAGCGATGCATCACAAAGATTGCTGGCCGCTGGCCATCTCAACTGTTGCTCGGTGGTCAAAGAACATGATGTTATTTCACAGGAAATAAATTGGACTGGGAGAATTTCTAGCTGAGCTAGATGACTTGATCCTATGTCAATAATACTCTTGTCGATACAAAGAAATAAACAGTACTTGTATAAAATTGAGAGGAGAATCGACTTAATAGTTTTAGCAAGATGTATACATAATTCGGATTGAGTTTGTTTGACAGGTCAGTCGGTATATATATGCTCAATTGTTGGTTTATGATGCATTAGTGCAGTTTTAAGACAAAAATAAGAGAATCTCATTCATATCATTTCACAAAACAGTGTTTGCTACTTTTGCAAGGAATTTGATAAAAGAAATAATACCCTATCTGGATGCCTGTTACTGATCCCATCTCATGGAGAGAAAAAAAAGAAAATTACTAGATTCCAATAGTAAAATCTACGTTCTATGCTTTCTTATGTTTCAACATATATTTCAAGGAAACATTTATGCTTAACATAAAGACGGTTTGGGTTAAAACATTTAAGAATTTCAAGAATAGATACTCTGATAACAATGAAACAGCAACTTACCCTATGTCCATGTTAGGTGTCGTATTGTTCGATGAAAGGTTAGTCGTTGCTGTAGATCCTGATGCCGTTGTATTTGATTTCTGTGAATTTCTGCGCCAACGTTTACGTCTCCGTTTATTGTGTACACTCGGTGCATCGTCTTCACCGTATCCTAGGCGATTATTTCCATCGCTGTTTGCATATTTATCCGATGAGCTCATATTTAACACCGCATCACTTCCATTTTTCTCTTTCTCGATACCAGGTATTGGAGATTTAGGGGGATTCAAATTTTTCAATTTCTAAAACCGAAAAAAATATAAAACAATTACTTAGATTATCCTTATGAACTTTTAAAGATATCCAACATTTAGGCATAAACACATATTATACATATCCCGAAGTACTAAATGTATGTCCGTGTACACGTAAACCCGTCGACTACTTCTCAAAGTTCATATGAGGACAAGCGACTCCCCAGGACTCTCGATCTCATCCAAGTAAATATTACGTAAGCTCTAATCAGAAAAAGCAAAGTAATCGCCTGAACAGACAAACTATGAGCCTGCCTTTGTCTTTCTCTGGAAACGCATGCGCAGTGAATTTTCAAAGCGTTGAAAAATCTTGTCGTGTTTAACGACGAAATACTGGTGGATCAACCTTCAACTGGTCTAATGGCAGTGGTCCAATAGGACAGCGAACAGAGTGCCGTATTTGTCATTCAATATTAGTTCGAGAAGAATAAGCTTTTTGTCAAAGGGATAATCCGTCTACAAGGCTCAACGGAACATACGAAACAATTGCAAACACTAAACAGTCAATAAACAGGCCTATACGATTTCAGACATTTTCTTTTACTCTCGAACTAGATTAGCTATCAACCAGATAATTTTAGAAATCGCTGGAAACAATTCTTTTCCATCCAGATATTGGGCTGCTTTGAAACGAAAATGTCTGAAATCGTAGATAGCTATGGCATAAAATTAATTGTTAATGAACTGATCCTACGTATAACTAATACAAGACAAACAGCATGCATAAGAAAAATGACTAGTCAAAGCGTTTGACAACATCTATACTTTTTGATAGTTAAAACATTTAATGCCGAGTATGTGAGAATTGGCCGTTAGTATAACAATTAAACCAGTGTGTCCACGGCAAAGATCATCTTCACAATATCAAGCTATTACTTCATAATTATACCTTGACTGCAATAATCACCTTTCTTGTATCGTGAAAGTTTGTAAATTAAGCGATTTGATTGGTTTGTATGCTAGAGAATATAGTCAATCAGAGGCCTTGACAGAAAGACACAAAGCTATAATGTTTACAGCCTTTAGCTTGACATTGTAAAAGATATAGCAAGATACGCACTCTGCAGCCTGTGTGTGGTAAAACATCAGTACTTTCAAATACGTCGTCAGAGGGGCAAGTATTTCCAACTGCCACGAAACAACATTGAATTTTTTTAAATATTGGTATGATGAAAAAGGCTACAATTTACGCCCAGTTTTAAAAAAAATAGGTTCTGCATTGATTTTCGGTGATATAACGTAAATCAAGGATATTACAGCTGTTACATAAACGTAATGATATAATTTGCAATATTATAGGAATTTCTTTAACTCTAGTGAAACCCAGTATTAAAATATTAGCTGTTAGATTTGAAAACAATTGCGAATAAATAACAAAGTGGTATGTGGAAATCACAAATATTAGTATTTTCTCGTTGACCTTGTATTGATCATTTAGCGAGCCTAAACCAACACCAACATGAACAAATGTTTATACCAATTGTGTCTGTTAGGCTCTAAATAGGTCACTGACCAATGACTGGACATTTGACACATTTGGAACTTTTGATTACATCTTTCTCAACATATGCCCAGAAGGCCTTAAATCTTTTAATTTAACAAATATGTTCTGACGAAAAGTTCAAAGTATAGACCAATATTTCGTCGCAATTTTCATATTCATATAAACTAAACGACAATTTTTGCGATTGCAATCAAAACCTCTTTAAAAATACCAAATAAGCTATGTAAAGGTATGGCTTACAAATGTGGGAACTAGAAAACGTCTGTAATATTTAATTCAGACAGTGTTCATCAAATTCAAATCAAAACTGTTTAAATTCTTAATAATTTGCATTCGTTCCTAATTAATTATAAGAAATAGTAGTAATAGTACAATGACTCAACCATTTGTATTGCAGGTGATATCTCTTGACAATACAGGTTTAATTGAACGTTTGACTTAACTGAAAAAAAGGCTTGCTTTAATTTCTGCATCTAATATACCCTCATACTTACAGTTTAGGTCCAGAGATGATGTGAGGTAACCCTGTTCCACAGTATAGTAATTTACATTAAAAGTTGAAGAACAGAAATAGCATAGAGAATACCACAACCACCCATATATCACAACATCTATACATTTACTCACCTATTTTCAGATCTTTGTTTGGTCTCTTTTGATCCAGCCAGTGTATATTTTCTGGTCCAGATTAATGAGGGAAGATGAACTTTACACAAGTTTCAAGTAGACAATATCAACTTTCCCAGTCTAATTAAAGCACATAGTACTTTGCACAATGTGAAAGATTGAGGACATGACAAATGACAAAAAGCTTTAAATGTTCAATTATTCATTGACAGTGTCAATGATTGAAATTTACTATATTTATAGTGATCATGAGTTAACCCATTTCCAATGCATGAGCAATGTTCTTAATAATTGATATACGCTAAAAGCGGTTTTAGTAACATTCGAAAATATACACAAATAAGAAACAGATCAAATCAAAATACAGCTTTTGATATTTTCTTATAATTTTCTGTGGGTGACGGTGCTTGCTTTGCAAACAGAGCATATGATAGGTTGATTTTTTTCATAAACGGGAACTTTTGGGAGAATCAAACCCTCCCTTCCCCGAAATCAAATAGAAAAAGCTTAGAGCTGTATTTTAATTCGATTGAAATGACGATACAACTCTTGTGTCAACTGGAATATCATGTCTAATATTCAGACAGAATAATAATTGATATTCTGATATACATTCACAGATACGTCAGATATTCGATAAAAGCTACCGAGATAGAAATACAGGCAGTACGAAGTATATCAGGGAAACATTTTATTTCCGTATTTTCTCATTTTTACAATGTCAAGCTATTACGAACTTCGTCTTATACCATGACTAAAATGGCCACTATTCATGTACCTCTGAAGTTTGAAAATGCAGCGATTTGGTTGGATTGTTCTCTAACGAATACAGAAACTCTGTAAACAATTAGCCATAATAGTCACATTCTTTCTGTCGAGGGCTCTGATTGGTTGTATTCGCTAGCGTACAATCCAATCAAATCGCTGTATTCAAGAGAGGCCTCTATAGAAGTCAAGGTCAAGTTCGTAATGGCTTTACATTGTGCAGATAGAGTATTCCAAGTCTGTTCTCATAACGAAGAATTTTCAACAATTTCTCGAACCGTCTGACAGAGAATGGAAGAGAATTTATGTGATAAAGTGATCAAGATTTCGGAAATATTTTGGTATTTTTGTAATGCTGATAAGAAACAGAATATCAATAAATAGACGTTAGTCATGCTAATATCAGCCGAAGAAAATTCAGGCCTTGTCACCAAGCTGGTTATAGAATATGCTATATGATATATATTTTTCACCTATGCTACTATGGATATAATGTTAATGCAGACCTACCAGAATATTACACACACTGTTTTGTTTAGGGTCAAATTGTTTTAGAAGCTAACTTACATTTAAATCATGGTCATCTTTTAGATTATGTAGTGTCTGTTTCAATTTCTCATTAAAGCTTTCTCTATTTCTCTGCTTATAGGCTTCAAATGCTATTTCCTCCATCTTTTTGCGAGCATGGTTTACTTTATTGTGCTTTCTGCACAGGTAACCTCGAACACGGGCTTGAATTATGGTAGCTTTTCTGTCTAGTTCTTGAAGGTACTCATTTAATCTGTCTAAATGTGAATAACGTAGAAAGACCTGAAAGAGATCATAGTCATTTTTTAAAATCCTTTAAGATAGTGGGTCACAACCCCAACAACTAATTTCAATACGATAGTTATTATATTCTTATTGCGTGCTTAAGTTGGTTTTTTTTAAATCATTTAATAAATCATCTTGAACTATGGTTAGTTTGAGGTTCATCAATTTTTATCATGCTGTCACCTACACAATTTAAAAATTTAAAACAAGTGAAATTTCAGATAGAACTACATGACCCTCTAGAGCAAATGTTGTCACATTCGATTAAGTCGAAATCAGTTTATATTTTTTAAAGGAATAAAGCAAACTTTGTGTTTTGCCCACTGTTATTTAATCGTGGAAGAAGTCAACACAATCTGAAAATTGGTGTATTTATTCATTTAATCAGTACATTCCTTAGACAATAAGAATCATTAGGAGAAAAACATTGTTCCCGTATCGACATCAAGTCAAATACACCGGAGACATCTATAAGCCAGGTACTTGTTTGGTATTTACCATAGTTTTTTTTATTTTAAATAATGAGGATTCAAATATGGCTTTAAGATCATATACACAAAATTACATTCTATAATTCTTACATAAATTTTATACAAATGGTATTATCACTTAAAGAAACCATTTTGATTACCCCAAAACTAGTTTCTATCCATTAAAATTGCTGAACAATATACTGTAAGTGAAGGAAAACTATACCTTGGTCTGTCCTGTTTCAAAATCAGAAAGTCCCAATGTCTTCAGTATGGCAACACAGTTAATAGGCTTGGGCTCCACATACATATTTGGTCGAAATCCAATTATCTTATATCTAGTAATAGAATAAAAATATAGATGAAGAAATAATGGATTGGAGCGAGTCGAGCAAATAATTGGAGGCTTTACCAGTCTTAAACTTTTGAAAAGCAGGACATGGGAGAAGTTTGTTAACTATGGAATATGCAAAACAAATGCACATGTCTCAGCATTTATAAAATCGTTGATTCTTAACTTAAAATCTTGCTTAGTACTTATCATCTAAATCTAATTTCCGAACTAATTTTCAGCTCATTTACTGAGGAATGCACGAATCGTTAAATTTGGAAATAGTCACAAGAAAGGTCATTAAGGTCAATTCAAAATTCAACATTTACCTGTCAATGAACTTGCCAAAGGCCATTCTAATAGGATAATCTGTTTGTCGTATGCGGCTGACCTCAAATACCCCACTCGAACGCAGTTGGTTAACAACCTGGTCATGCTGGAACTTTTCTGGTACTTTCTGATCATTTGGCTTGATACACCTTTGATAAAACAGAAGATATACTTTTGCAGCTTCTATTACCAACTTTATGACTTGAGCATAACAAAATTGCCTTTGACCGATACAGGTTCTTATATGCTCTGTCTCAACAAACAGACATGTCTTCTGATCTTAAGGAAATGGCACATGTGATAAAACTTAACAATGTATTAATCCCTTACCTTACAAAGCTGGGATCAGACGAGTTCATCCGAGTCATAAGATCCACCAAGGAATTCTGAAAATATAATTAAGCTCATGAGTCATCAGTTGCTTTTAAGAATTAGTATAAGTATTGGAATATCAAACTGATATACAATTACCAGTCGGCCTATTTCAACGAGAATCGCTGACATTCCATGAACTTCACTCTTGCTTCCGACGCTGTAGATTTCAATCATCGAAATATTTCAAAGAATAACAAATTTTAGCTTCGTTTGACAATCATAGCTTATTAAAATTTTCAGTCACCCATATATTACACTTATCTAACAGGATAAAATTACTTTTCAAACATGTCTGGAGGGATAATATTTAGATTTCGGTCATTAATTTTAAATTCTAGCCGATTTGTACTTCTGTATATTCAGTTCTTTCTATTTGTTTGTGCATACCAAGTACATGTTATCTAAATAGCAATGAACTTGTACAGCCCATGCAACAATTGCTCCATAAATGCTTTGTAAGTTATAGCTTTCAGATAAGGTTTTACACCCAAACAACCACCCAGAAAGTCAACTATCGAACTCTATAGTGTTGGACCAAGTGCAGAAAAACATTCCTCTTAGGTAAATGAAATGATTTATTTTCAGTTCAAAGAATCAAATTGAATATATTGGAGTTTTAAGTTTTACTTTTCGGCTCCTAATAGCAGTAATCCTAAAAGCATGTAATTATGGAAAGATTTTGCCAGGGCAGCGGCATTAACCCACTGTTTAACGATTTCCAACAGTCGATGGATCTTTAACGTACACAGCCTGTAGAACAAGAAGCCTTGGCTTATTGTCCATCTTCAGTAACCCAAAGGAAAATTAAGTAAAACCTCATTTTTTTGAGAGCCTATTGCTTATAATTGAAGAGGTCATTTCACCAAGTACGATCTGGGAAAATCGCCCGCGACCACGTGCGACTATGATCGCAGCTTGATTTTTCTTCGATCTTGTTCGTTCTTTCGACGCTCTCTGTGCGACTTTTAGATCGAAGCTCAGTTTTTTGACATGTCTTTTTATTGGGGAGACCAATCCTCGACTATGTGCGACCACGGAAGATCAAGGCGTGACCAACCCTCGGTCAACCGTCGACTGTGTACGACTTTCGGCGACCACGCCACGCTCTGAGATCGCAGCTCGGTCTTCACGGACGATTTCTAGGTGAAATGGGGGTATGAGATACATAAAACTGTATCCTGCTTATGATCATAATCTATGAGGCATTATGCTGTAATTGGCGTTAAACCATAAAACAAATCGTGTGTATGTGTTAAATGTCTCTCATGGGGTTTTTATGGTCTGACATTACTGGTATTTATCTAGACACAAAGAATTAAAAGATTGCTTGGCAAAATTTGCGAATAACCGCAAACTGTTGCAGTTTTCTCATGGGAAATAAGGCTTAGGGGAACATGAGTAGAAAACCTTGTCTTTCATACTTCCGTATCTAGTCGTTTTAGTATTGTTTTAAAAGGATGTTAGATATTAATAAATAAATAAAGGGCAAATAATGACAAATACAGTCTTACCCGGATTCTTTGATTATAAAGTGAAATCAGGATATTCGGTTTTGACAATTGTGAAAAGCAAAGAGTGGACGGGTTAATTAAGAATTGTCGGGGCGCGTTTTGACTCAATTTTGTTGACAAAAAGTATAAAGATATCAAAGGGAGATAATTTGTTTTTATCTGATCTACACCCGGCCATTCTATTATGTGAATGGGAGAACGTTATTAACATTATTTCGGTGTGATTTGATGTGATTTCTATGAATTACTAAATTTAATATGTGAATAGACGGTGTCTGGTGCGGTGTACGGTGTGGGCTTATCGATACAGTAGAAAATAGTAGAAGCGAATCGTGTGCGCACCGTGTCCGGACTCGTACCTCGTGTCTTCACTTGTTCTCTTTTGTACTGTATCAATAATTCCGCATAGTACACCGCACCGGACACCGGACATCGTCTATTCGCGGCTTTATTCGTGGTGCACTTCTAAAATTGATTATAATGGTATTAATAATATATGGACACCAGGTTAAATATTGTGTTCATATTCAACTGTGACGGGTAAATATTGAACAGTATCAAGTAGAATGTGGCAGGTTTTCTCGTTTTAATAAAATATTGACATAAGGTGTTCGACAAACCGTTCTCTGTGTACATCTAAAACTTTAACTTTGATTGGACACAAGATATCTTGATAGCAGCTTATTTGTGAGAATTTGGTCTTAAATAAATTGTATTTTTTGTATAGCGGGACGAGGCGAAATCTTTGATTAGCCGATATACCACAAAAAGATTCGAATATCCTGTTGACTTTTTTTTATCACTACTAGATATCCCTTACCCAAACTTATCTAGATATATTTTGCTAAAAAGTATATTGTCGAGGATTACAGATTTAAGTTTATAAAAAGACAATAACTACTATTCATTTCAAAAGAAAACTTCGTTTCTAAGTTGGCTTCCAGAGCATTCGCACCAATGGCACTTGCCCATCCGTAAAATATTAACATTTATTAACAAACACTCGTGCCCGAAACCAATTCAGCGTCCAGTTTCTCTTGAGTTTTATCTTGATTTTCGACGGTTTTTTTTTTGTATTTTATTTTTTTTTGAATACTGTTAAAATGGCGGAAAATATGGAATTTGATGAGATTCTTTCCGAAAAGTGATCTGGGTTGGTAATGTAACACTTAGTTAATTTTTGGTGAGAAGGTAAGATAAAAGTCCAATTACCTTCGTATTGGTAGATTTTCGTATTGATAACACTTACAAATCAAATTACTATGTCAATTATACAAGTTCAGTTTATATTTAACTAAGACATTGAAAAACTTGTTTTATAACAAAAATTATAAGATGCACAATGAGAAACTGAATTCAGTGGTGATGAAAAAATGTTACATCAAATACTCCATGTTCCTTGTGAGATTTAGTTCAACCTGTTGTCAACATAAACATTAAAACAATGCAGAAGCATGAATGAAATGTCTTTATAAAGAAGTAAAGGTATGGAAAATTTTTTTTAACTTGGCATTTAAGAACAAAATGATAAAAAACATTTGAGGTAAAGTTGTTTAGGATAAGTTGTATTTGCTTTACCCGAATCTTGTCTATCACTTAACATGATTTTTTAAAAGGAAATATTTTGTTGTTGACATTGTAAGATCAGGTGAAATCTTCTTTTAGTCAACATTAAGCATCTACTATTTAATTTTATTTAGTTAATTTACTTGCTGCATATCTGTGAAAAAAAAACTTGCATAATGTTATGTTAAGTGGATTAACAATGTTATTGCATATTTTTGACCTTTTATTTCGTGTTTACATTCAAAGTTTTCAAAATTCCTATACTCGGCAGGTTAATATCTAAACGTATTTATAACGCTCGTTCAGTCCCATCGGTGTTATCAATGAATAGAAGGAACTCTGGTTCACTTTATTCAATATGCTTTGTATGAGTCAATGAATTGTTACCAAGTAAAGCAACCATTTTTGTTCCAGAGGTAGTATCCCGGTAGCTCACGATATCCTTGAGTTTTGTGCTTATGTACATTAGTACAAAACAATCTGTAAAAAATGACTATGTAAAAGCGCAATGATAGGCCCGAATGAAAACCACGTGACATCATGAATATTTATTTTAGATTCCTTTTACGAGGATCACTTTCTTAAGTGGAACACGGTTGAATATGTTATCAAATCTGAATCATCATGAGAAAAATCCCTCAAAATGATTTTTAAATTAACATTGACCTCATATTAACAATGTATATTGTAGAAAAATTTCTTAGCACTCGTCATTATAATAAGTATTTACATGAATATGCAAATGATACAAAAAATAATATAGGCTTTATCGGTCCACTGATAATTTGCAGCTATCGATATCGCAATTTCCTTCATTTTGGATAACTTTAATTGCGACAGCATCATGAATACCAAACACCCGCCCACTAAACAATAATCAGGGAATAGCCATTCATCAGCTGATACATTAATGACCTTGAGAATTCTGGGTGACCCAGTCACGGATTCACGTACCTCAAACTAAATGTCCTTGCCAAGTGATGAGGCCAAAACATATACCAGCAATATTCAATTGATGAAAAAATTGCATTGCATAAATAACAAAAATATCTTACCTTGAAGTATTGTGCAACTGTTGTTTGGTTTTTCAGAGATCTGTCATACCTGCAATTTGAACATAAAACATTAGTCAATTTTTGGCCTTACCTACATTTACCAAACCTCTTTTTGTGATAAAAAATCACTTGTTTGTTTGCCAAACGGTGTTTGTTATAGATTCTTTGTAACGGTATCGTGGCACAAAATGCAATAAAACTCGATAAAAGTGTTGTTGGTTGATATATTGAATGAGATGTTTTAGTGTAGGTCTATAAAAAATAAGTTTGCAAAAAAAGTGAAATGTCTAGTGTTTTTTAATGGTGTTTGTATGATACGTAGATAAGTTGCATTGAGAAAATATATACAAATTATCACACACATTGATCAAGTGTCTAGGTGACTCATAGTCATGACTTCATGACCCATACAAATATCATTTCATAGAAATATTAATTTCCACCTGCCTTATAATGTTACACCTATATAATTTTCAAGTCTGTAAATTAGTGTAAGTTAAAGAAAGGTAATTTGGTCACGGGGCGTCTGACGATGAGAACGACTTTATTACAAGCTGCAAAATACTAAATTCAGTATATTACAACGTGCAGCTACCTTTGCCTCTACGTAATTACAGCCTAGGTTTTGCTTTTCTTGTAATATAATGCAATTTATCCTTTGTTAAGTTTCGTCGAAATCGATTAGTTGTGGTTTACAATACACATAGTTATCTCCCTTAGCTATATCCTGATATAATGACCGACTGGCAGTTCAAAGCATCTGATCAGATCCGAAATGGAGTTTTACGTCCTTCCTTTTCTACACCATGTAGATCACAGTGCGAAGGTCTCATATCAAACCATTATCTGACCGCAAGCAACTGTCATCAGCCGATAGTAAAAACAAAATAATTTGGATCAGAATTTTCAAGTGCTGGTGACTCGGACATTAGACACGCATCATTCGCCGAATCTGAGACACGTCAGATCTGTTACTAGAAAACAACAGACAGAAACGGCAATTTCTCGGTTGTTCCTGCGCTCATGACGACTACGTCAAGAGATAAATCAAATTCCATCAGTTGCTAAAGCCGTCGTAGTCTCGTGTCTCTCCGATTCTCCGATTAATCAAAACATCAGTTAAAAAGCTATAAATGTTAATATAAATTGAAATCATTGTGTCCTCGGCGAAAACGCATTCCACTTCTGAAGAAATGATTGTTAGTGATGTTCCAGGATGGCGAAAGCTAATCCTGGCTCAGATCTTATTGAATGAGCAAGCCAATCAATTCCAAAACAGAGTATCGTGTTATATTAACTATCCCTGAAAGCGGACACAATCATAGAATATTTTCAAATAATTCAACTTTTAACTAAAAACGAAATCTCGTGAAACAATATGTTGATATAAAGCCAATTGTGATACATACAAAACAGCATATTTATGAAGAACAAAAAAATTAAAAAAGTACTCGTGCAACAGAATCAAATATTCCAACGTTTTGATTTATTAATTAATCCAATATCACATTTCTAAAATGGCCGACATCAGTTGCTGGACAAGTATCTATGTACTGAGTAATGTATCCTAACAAAAAACTCAAACAAAGTATATTTAATACTTGAATAACCAATGAAAACATAGAAATGGGTAAAAAAAAATCTAGAATGATTATGTTTAAAGACGAATGCTTGTATTAAGGGCGTTAAAAGCGAAAAGTAACAATACAGAGAAATTCAGTGAAGAAAAGATGTGTCTCATAAGTGACCGCGTTGAATGTATGAATAGTCACCTTCAAGAGCTCTCAGAATATTTCTCAAGGAATGTAAGAGAAAATTTATATAACTGAGAAACATCTTATGTTTTTCCATAACATGTATGTATAATATACAGGCATATTATACTATTATGTAGCTATATAATAACCATTAGGGGAGTCTGGTGCTACTCTGAGACTGTATTGGTCAAGTCGTCAATCCTATTGGACAAACCAATAACGTCTGCATTATGTTCGAATGTGGCACTGTTAAGAGCAACATTAATTTATAAATTAATATTTGTATTTATGTATATAAAGATGGTTTCCTTATTTTTTAGTGTCAAATTTATCAAACTATTTGATTAATTAGTGTTTCTAATGGATTAACGTGTATTCTTATTCATATCGTTATGTTCTTATTGCATATACTTAAGAGTTTTAACACGTCCATTTATGTACTGTCTGGATAAACAAAAACATACTTTGTGATCTTTCTTGATCGGCCACTCTGCTGGCAATTCTCTTCTAATTTGTCTAATTATGAATTAATTATGGACATGCGAGACACATTGGAATTTTTCCAAATCATAAGAACGCCTCTACTTTCTATTCATAGAAATATTTGCAGTTTCACTTTCAGTCAAAATAAGGGAACCAAACTTTAATTATACAAATAAAAGTGTAAATGGATGTCGGTGGTGTTAATGCAATGATTAAGAGTAATTCTGTGCACTTCTTATGGTTCAAATATAAAAGTCCTAGTAGACAGCAAATTTACTAATTATCAAACAAAACAGAACATTTAGTAGTTTTTGTCATAAGACCACCCGGAAAAAAGAAAATGTACTCACATTTAGGAAGTTTGGTCAACACAGACTAACTTACTTCCCAAGAAAAATGTGGTCTTAGATGAATAGAGCCAAAATAATTATAATGATAGGTCAATTTAATTAAGAGATAAAAATGTCAACCCTACCTTTCAGTTGTTGATGTACCTGTGCTAGTTACACCTGGTGTTTTTCCTCGTGGTTTTGTGGCGAACGACCTGAAAAAAAAAGTCCACAGCATTTTAATATATCAAATGATTTGCTTTTACTTATAATAATTTTATTCCAAATATCGTCGCTATCGTGTCGATATTTGTAATTTCAGCTTTACCTACGTTTCCTTATTTTGTCTTTTTCGTAATGAGTGATTCGAAAGCTTTCATCATGGACTTTAAGTGGTATTTTTTTTTTGGTTTGAAATTTGTACTAATAGTCTATAAGTATCTGGTGTCAATTTAGTCATTTAGGTTGTTATGTTCGGATCTCTAAATGGTCGTTCAATGTTTGGATTAATGTCCGTCAGTTTACATTTTGAGAAGATGCTCTCGCACACATTACCCGTATCTTGTTTTTGCGCACACTATTAGACGCATTTAAGGGTGATTCCCTGATAGATATGAGTTTTGTATATTATTTATAATACTTATAATGCCTAATTATTGTAAATATATGTGTCAGGCAACCCCAATGAAAATAAAATTAAAAGCATCTCATTATGCGAATATAACATTCACAAACGTGATATTTAAACTTCGTCATCGATGTGTGGAAAACTTTGGAAATAAATTTGATGAAATTATTAATACACATAAATTTAAAGATAAATTTTGGATTTGATGTCAAAATAACAACTTATTCCTTCAACATATTTGCAGTCCTTAATAAACCGAAAAATATTAGTAGTAAGATATGCTTATTCGTTTATTGAATATTTATTTGCCTATTGGTTGCTTCAAATCCCCTCTAATAACTAATAAAATATTACTATAGGTATTGATAAATAGTCAAAAGGGATTATGTTTAAATTAAGTTCTGACGACACTCTATATAAATACATTTCAACAAGTGGCAATGACTTTATCAGTTACATGCATCCACCCATGGTACATAAAGACTATTGTTATCTTCTTAATCGTATTGTTACTATCAAATATTATACTTCGTGTTTAACGATACGGTAGACTTGAGAACATAGTTCACTCTTTTTTTTTTTTATCCCAAAGAGATTACGTATCGATCAATATGTGGGTAATGCTTTACGTTACATGATAGATTATATCGATTATATTATTTGTAAATGGGAATAAGGGTGGTCAAGTTGTAAATTCCCAGGCTTAAAATTGCACTTTGATTTATGATTAGTCGTGGAATATTGTAAAAGAAGTTTATAACGGCACCGTCAACAAAATTGTACATGTCTCATGATTTTATTAATGCTAACAGGAATGGACATGTGTAGTATTGGTTGTAACATTCCTAAATTCGCAACTTGTCTTTTTTCTGGATGTCGGACGTTATATGTAGCACAACCATCCTAAGTAAGATTTACATTTAGTGAATTCAATACTCTAATCTCGAAGCGGCTTTACTGATTGTCGACCAATTTAACATGACTTTTAACCGATTCGAAATGGTTGTGAAACAAGAAAACCAGACGAGTCCAGCTTTGATATGTGATGAAGAAAATGTTACAATTGTTGACAATGTGGAGGCCATGTCAACAAAGATCTCAATGAAATCCTCACGATCTTCCACTTTGCTCAATTGTCACCGTTCATAAATGTTTGTTTAGTTGTTATCTTATAAAGCTGCACCAATTTGAAATAATGAAAAAACGATGCATTTTATCAACATGTTAAGCTCTCTCTGCATTGAGCTTAAATTGACATCATTTGAATGCCAGATAACTTAAGAAATTTGACATCAATCCATGTCAACCATTGAAGTGCATCTTTTGTAGAAAGCAAACCTGTTCATGTGAACCGTGAACAGACAGTTTGTTTTAGACTGTTGACAAAAAATTCCCACTATTTAGTTATAATATTATAACGGAGTTCTTAAGTACATAATACCTAATTAACAACAATCGCTTTCCCATATCTTAACTCTCCCTAGAAACAGTTCCCAATGCAAAGCAGAAGGAATGATATTTTTTTCTTTGATTCGTGTATATAGCTCTAGCAGGAATAAAGTGATGTCAGGTAGTTTGCAGAGAGAGAGTACCTCTACAGGAAAGAGTTAAAAACCACTTGAGATTTCCAACCGCCTCTGAAATCTAACATATTCAGCTTGAACAAAGAAACTCTTTTTTTCTGTTACTTGTGGACGTAATCTATCACTGTGGATAAAGAGAATACATTTTTTTCTATCTCCAAGCAAGAGTGCTGATGCTCCTTAATGCATTTCATTTCATTTCATTTTCCAAGCAAAAGTATTATCCAGGCCGCGTATTCTCGTCTTAGTGCTAGGATATCCTGGAAACAGTGATAGGACTTAAGACCCTAGGATATCCTAGCGCTAAGATCGCTTCGAGAACACGCGACCAGGAGGCAAAATTCCAAAACTTACCCTGATATAGTTCCCGTTCTAGATAGTTTGGCTTTGAATAAATCGCTGATCAATTGGCTTTGACTAGATTTCATACAATCTACTATACATATACTTAAATTATCTCTGTTCTTCTCCAAGAATCCTGCTGCATGATATTCAACCTATATAAAAAGTATAAAGTCTCATATAGAAGTTGTAATCAAAAGTCCATAAGTTACAAATTAAGAACAATAAATGCATAACTAAACATCATCAGCTTTTCCTTCAAAACCAGGATTACATAAATTGACCACATCGACCGACATAAAAGACATTTACGAAGATGAGATAAGATGAGATAAGATGATAAGCAGACGGAGATTAAGCTTTAGTATCTATGTTCCTTTTTCACAAAAGTAACCTTTAGTCACACAAGTAACCTTAAGTCACAAAAGTAACATTTAGTCAAAAGTAACCTTCAGTCACAAAATTAACTTTTAGTCACAAAAGTAACCTTTAGTCAAAAGTAACCTTTAGTCACAAAAGAAACCTTCACTCACAAAAGAAACCTTTCGTCACAAAAGAAACCTTTAGTCACAAAAGTAACCTTTAGTCACAAAAGTAATCTTTAGTCATAAAAGAAACCTTTAGTCACAAAAGTAACCTTTAGTCACAAAAGTAATCTTTAGTCATAAAAGAAACCTTTAGTCACAAAAGTAACCTTTAGTCACAAAAGAAACCTTTAGTCATAAAAGCTTCTTTCAGCTGTGTTGGACACATTGCTAGTTTAATGTGGTCAAAATTAAAATCTAATATTCACCTACCGTTCCGACATAATGGTGAACACAAAATGCCAAATCACCACTCTTTGATTTTGACACTAATTTCGTATTTTTGCAATGGGTGGTGATTTTCTCCACTAATGATGAATCAGTTGATCTTGGAAATCTAATTTCTTCGTCCATTAGTGCAAAAATACCCAGCGGTTTCTGAAATACAGTTTACAGAAGGCCGACTTGAATATGGAAAAAAAAATGAAACAATTATTGATAATTCAATTGATAAACTATTTAAGAACAATTTCTGGGTTATGCTGTCGTTGAATCTAGGGATAGAGGCCCGAAGTTTGGGGATTTTTTTTAAGCAAGACTATGTATTCCAGGATTATTCATATTTATGTTAGTTTCTGACACGTCATTATGAAATTTGGAAACTTAGGTTTTGTACTTATATCTCCACATTAAATACAGGTTACATTGATATACATGTAAACCTTTCATCGACATCTAATTGACCTAAATCAATACAGAAAGCAAGTTTTTTTGGGGCCAGTTCTATCTATACATACCATCATGAACAAATTCAGCAAATCGTTGTTGTTCCGATATTGAATATTTTTCCATGACAATCCTTCACGTTCATATTCTTGTCGGTCCAAAACAAATACGTGCTCATTAAAGTATGTCTGCATTTGTTCATTAGCAACATTTATACACAGCTGTTCAAGACTGTTGATCTTCAGATTTTCAAACCCTGGCATATCAAGAATTCCCAGGCTTGGTCCTGAATATTTACTGCAAGTAAAAAGGAATTCAAATAGCAATTTCAGTGAAACGTGTCATATTGTTGAAGTGAGTGAGTCATATGAAAGTATCAACGCTCTTGCAACGGGAAAGTTAAAAATTTACTGGCAGGGCTAGAAAATTGAAAAATCTCAGTTATGCAAATTACAATGACCAGGTGATCATTTGCATTTTTAAAGTCTGGACATAAACACAGAAAGTGAAATCTTAAATCGTGTACGATTATTTGTATTCTATTTAGGTTATTGTAGTCATTCTATGAATGTTAACCGAGTTTAAATAATCAAGGAATCTGTATTGTCTTTCAACGCACTGTCATTTAAATGGACATTCGTTTTATAATAATACAAAACATGTACCTGAATTCTTTATCAGGTTTAAGTCTTGTGTTAATTTGTCTGACAATCCAGCCAAATAAACGACTGTAAAGAGCTTTAGCCAAGGCATCACGACTTTCCGCGGCCTGTTCGACTGTTCTGTGAATGACCAATCGCTCACCTGAAATAAAGGGTTGTATAAGATCAATGCTTTTAAACAGTCAGTCAATTCCATATATAATAAGCGGTGTCTTCCCAATATCACCCCTTCACATTTCACCCATAAAATATTCCCTTTTCGCCCCTTACCCGTTTCGCCCTTTTCCCACATCGTCCCTTGCTGTTTTGTCCCTTTCCTATATCGCCCCTTCCCAATTTGCCCCCTCCCCAGTTCGCCTCTTTCCCATTTCATCGTCATCCAATTAGGTCAAAAGATTAATTTGACGAACATTCAAGAAGGCTGTCGTCAGACCTTAACTGAAGTGGCTGTGTTAAAAATAAAAGCCAATAAAAAAATAACGAACATTATTACTGTAATAAGCATTGATAATGCCTCAAACGGCTGAGCAATACCAAATATGTGACCGCATTTTGATGTAATAAGACAGACCGATATACTCAAAAGCTGACTTGGTCGTACCTTAAATTAATTGCTATGCGAGATTCTACTAGCTAAAAAGAAACCACTGCCCTAAAGATGTTTAAGCACGTGAGAAAAAGACAATGCTAACATTGTAGAACGTGGATTTCAGTGAATGTTGTTGAATTTGATACTTTTCTTAAAATCAAACTCACAAGGTTAAAAGGAATGTTTAGATTTTATCCTTAAAACAATAAATGGATTGAAGGTGTGTTAGTCGTGTATGGACATACCCGGCCCACTTGTTGCCACAGCCTACAAATATTTCACAAAGTTTATAAAGTTAAGACTTCTTGTTAACATGAGCCTTATTTCACACCTTTTACCTCAATGCATACGGTTAATGTAAAAGTGCTTGTGAAGAAACAACTTGGTAGGCCTTAGTAAGGTCTTGCATAGTAATGGCATAGTTATCAAATTTCGGTACCGATATTAAGCTACATCAATTACTCAAAAACGTATCTTTAAAGAAAATAAATGTTTTTCATGTGGTTTATTTTATCAATAGGAACTGTAGGTGATCTAGTAGTAATCTAAACGCCTTGATTTGATTTGATTTGAATCCAATTGGAACTGTGCATTATTATGGAGTTGCATTGCACAAAGGAACATAGAACAAGCGATGTTTCTGTCTATTTTTCAATTACAGATTGATGTAGTTGTATCAATCATTCAAGTCCATGGAACCCAAATGTTCACGTTATTACTACGTTACGCGTTAGGTAAGAAGTAAAATATGCTTTAAATTTATACTCGGATCTATTCGCCCAATATCAGAAATATATTTATGATTGATATACTTCCTCATGTGAAAAGTTCATAAGCTATTACTAATGCACCAGTATTGTTGTTTTGGATTTCGGATTTCGTTTTACGGTTTGGATGTTAGTACTTGGTTTATGTATAATGATAAAAAAAATAAAGGCATATTCTTCGATTAGGCATTTCACGACTTTTTTCTCCCAGTATGTAAAAATACTGAGGCATTTTTGTTTTATTTTGGCTACTACGACAACTCGATTAGCCAAGCTATTTTTATTTGTCGTTGTACATTTACATACTCTCTAACGATCAACTTCCAAAACAAATAGTTTTAAGGGTGTTCTTGCCACCTATGTTGTGTCTAACGCCAACACGTTTCATTCTATTGCACTACAATAGTATTTGAATTTAATTAAATTCTGCTAAATTTTCTTATCAAAATAACGACACGGGTTTGTCGTGTTGTCAAACATACACATGTAAAGGTGGAACAATGTTCAGCCGCGAAAGCTTTTAGTTGAGGGCAGACACGAAACTACATTTTAACTGTTTGATCCGCCATTTGAATTATTGGGGTGCATTGGAAGCAATATCAATAGGGGTCAACATGGAGCGTCCATATTTGAATGATAATTTGATGCCAAAGAATGAAAGTTTTTTTAGCCTTTTTGTGTATTGAAGACATATCTTCACGATATAGGAAAATATAGGCTATAACGAAAAATCTGAATTATGCTTCATGAATATCCATTTGCAACTGGCTTCAAAAATAAAACTGCACAAAATTTTACCGTTTACGTTATGTTTGATATCCATAACATTTTTTAGAATGAGAAATCTACATTTTGACAAACGATAGCTTGCCATGCATGTTGATATACGCCCACTGGCAGTTATTTGGCAGTACAGTAACAATCACAAGTATGCAATATACAACCTTTCTTTCGAATTTTTTGTGGTTGAAAATGACCAATATTGTTGTGTCAAAATTTTGCCTCCTTGAGTGTTTACAAGCTATAAAATTATATTGAACGCGTTTCAGGAACAGGGGTAATAACTCATAACAAATAGTTTTCCATTTTGTGATTTTCAATAGGGATCATCCTTGAGTGATAACAAACATATATACTAGGTTTCGTTAAAATTTGTGACTACTGGAGAGTTTACGAGTTTAAATAATACCGGCAATAACTCATATTAAATATGTTTTTCGATTTTTGTGACTTTCAATTATGTTCATCCTGGAGTTAATAAATATGTACACTTTACAAGTAAAGTCAATATTCATGAAGAATTGTGCTTTGTACAGTGTTTTCTAGCAATTGTGGGCGGATAGACAGATGGGTGATGACAAAGCACAGCGATAATTATCATAATTTAGACTATCACTACCAACTGCACGCAAATATCTCAATAAAAATTCCAACAGAAAAATACCGTAAGGTTTCTGTAGACCGACATACAGTTGGGTGTAGATGTTTTGTTGAATCTAGACTTTGTTTTTGGTGAATTACGACTTACCCCTTGTATAGTTAGCTGAGGAAATCAGGACGTCACTTAAATCTACAATGTCAATTTGCAGAAGCACTGCCACTGAAAAAAACAAAACAAATATAGACTTTTTGTTCTTGTAGTGTAAAAAAATCAAATTGGGGATAAATAAAAATTAACGATTGTGTTAAGGTATGTGGACCAATAAAACGATGTGGAAAGGTTGTAAAATTGTGAAGGGCAAAAGAGCTCACAGAAAATCATCATTGATCTAACAATGTACGCAGGCATACTAACAACCTCATTCATATATTTTTAAAATCAACATGAACATTCTAACAACACATTCTGTCTATTAAGTGACAAATAGTTGTGAAACATTGGCTAACAATCTTCATCACGTAAGAGCATTTTAGTGACAAGTTCACTGAAAACTGCTTCGTGTTCTAGAGGAAAATGTAACAGGAATTATTAAAAGTGACCTGAAAATCCAACCAACATCAACTACATCAGTTTCTGGAATGGAACTCAAGGTTATGAGTGTAGGACCATTTGACTAAGAAATGATTTGATTCCGATAGTACCCGAATCTTTTTGGAAAAAAAAATCTTTGGTGAAATTGGAGTTTAAAATATGCCAAACTATAAATTTAATTACCAATTTCTAAATTCTTTAAATCCGCAAATCTAGCCTTTTCTGTTTTCTCATCTTTAATATAGACTATATTGGTAACATGTAGAACTGCTGACAATACAGTAAATACCATAGATATTTCCTGAATTAAAAATAAAATGGTTATTTCCCTTGATTAAATTCCAATGTAAATGATATGGGGGATAACAACAAAATAAAAATGTTACTCCATTCTTAAAAAAAATGGTGTCCTCAATGAAATACCAATATATATGGTTCATCAGTACCTTTGCGGGGTCAGCCTCCCGAGACAGGCTGGGCAGACTGACTTAATGGAGGGACAACTCTCTTGGTTGAGATTCAAAATGCAACAGGTTTGTACAGTTTTTCCTCCAAGAAAACTTGGAAAAATAGAACTGATTAGTTGCATTCTGACACATATTTTAGGGCATAAACGTATAAAAATCATATTTTTGAAGTGGGGATACAACTAAGGGTGCAAACTCTTTTTCTAGGGGGACAAAAGCCTCCCCTGTACTCCCACTGGCACTGATTTTGGGTGCTCATGTGATATCATTGTGTAATATAATTCACCATCAATGTCATTTTGTTACTTACCCAGTCTGTAAATCCAACTAATTTCATGACATTTAGTTGTTTGTGAAACATTAAACGACTATTTTCTAAATCTCGTGTGCTTTTAAATACAGGGCGATTTCTGTTATCGTTTCGTAATATTCTGTAATATACATTAAAATGATCAAGTTTAACAATTATTGTGTACAGTTTTTCCAGATGAGAGTTTGAGGCAATCTATCTTCCTACGACCAGTTCGTGACTGACACTATGGCTACTTGACCATTGCATTAATTTGTTGTTTACCTGAAATCTTCCGGATGACCTAAGCTATAATTCCTCAACTCGTCCTTGGTCATTCCAGCAAACAAATAGTAAAAAATATGAAAATTTCTTTCACCAGGACCATGTTGTACAACACGACTCTTTTCCAGTAAGTAATCAGTTAATACAGCTGAAATGTAAAGTAAATGTGTACTTACAATACAACTTTTCTGATAGCCAGTCGAAGAAATTTCCAAAGTAAAATCATATCTACAGCCAGTCGGGTTACCGGGGTGGGTACAATTATCCCCAATATGGAAATATGGCTTGCCCCTCACCCCCACGAAAGTTGTCTCCCGATTGAGTCATGTCCCGTATGTTGAAAGCTTCAAATAACAAACTTACCACCGGCTAATTTCCCTTTACTAGTAAACTTCAGCTCAAGATTTTTACCAAATCGACTGGAATTATCGTTCATTAAGGTCTGTGCATTTCCGAACGCTTCTAACAACGGATTAACCTGAAGAATTATATTGTATGTATACACACACGACTTGAATAAACTCATCGAATTAATGGCAAAGTTATATCTGATTCAGCAGAAAACCTGCACTTCTAATTGCTGTTTGTGAGAAAGTGGGCCTATTTTGAAATATTGTTCACAAAATTTTGTATCTTTGAAGATCAACGTGCCGGAATGAAATTGTTCGAGATAGCTTTTATACTAAAGAAGTTCTAAAATTTTTTTCCGGACCACTGTTGGCATTGTTTTTTCACTCTACTCTGAAGTGAGCACATCGACAATTAATAATGTGCTAAATTTACAAAAAAGTACACCAACACAAAGAAATATTGTTTCTAACCTCATTTATTTTGACGTCCAAAAATGGATGAATGCTCTCACTCTTATAAGTGACATGGCTTATCATATGCTTCACACTTTCTGTTTTTCCAGATCCCGATTCTCCACTGACAACTATATTTTGACTTTTGTGTGAACTAAGCATGCGAAGATGCGTGTGATCGGCTATCCAGAATATGTGGGGTTTTAAGTTACTGCGGACTGAAACATTGGTGTACTGTTTGTGATCCTATAATACAAAAGGGTAAAAAATTCAATAACATCAGATTGATTTGATATACTTTGGACTGATGTTCTGGATTTTGAGGAATGGTTTGGATGACGATTGATTAGAAGTAGTGATTCTTTATGTTGTTGATAGTCGTGTGGTTTTGTTGTTTGTTTTAGTTTGACCCTCTCAACAAGGCTCAAACTAAAATGACTTAAAATCGTACGACTCGATTTAATCGAATTATATTCCGGTTTTACAAAAAATGTTATAATTGTCCAATCGTTAACAAAAAAAAAAATCAAAAGACATCAATGATTGTGATTAAAGTGGAATCATTGGAATATTTCAGTCATTAGGTCAATCCAACTCCCCAAGATAAAAAAAATATATCTGATGAAACGGTCAATGGTTCATAGTCGGGAACTATCTGATTCTGGGTTTGTTTTACTTACCGATTTTCCATAGATATCGACAGTTTTAAACGGGTTAATAAACAATAATATGTCACCAATATACGTCTGTAAAATATAAAGAAGACATTATATTTCGGGGAAGGGAGGGTTTGATGCCTGGTTAACTACGACATTAACATTAACAGTGTCCAAATGGGAACGGACAAAATAGACAATGGGTGAATCGGGTAGGGACATAATGGGAAGCGGCAAAATAGGAATAAATTAAGAGCAGTGAGGGAAGGGGCGCTATGGGATAAACCGTTTAAAACATAACTATGTTATAAATAAATAAATAAATATATAATAATATTTTATTCACAAGTTGATTGGGTTTAGGAACAAGCTCTACCTATACATCCAAGTTTTAATCTGAAATTTATTCGTTGAATATGCGGTAACAGTTGTAGGTGCATCCCGATGCGTTTTGTTCGACTTTCAGTTTGAGCACACTTGATAAGCTAGTCTAATACACCTCGGAATGCACCTATTGTTCGTGTCACAGTATCCACTCGCTGGAAAGTGCTGCCACGTGATTGGTCAAAACAGGGGCCAAGCAAAGGTTAACAGAATTAATTCAAGAAGGACAGTATTAGACCTTACTTTAGGTTACGTACAAAGCTAATAGCAAATAAAACATTCGAAACGAAACTAATAAAATACGAACGAAAGTGAGGTCTTATTTTAATAAGACTGTATTAATAGTTACATTAATCAATAATGGAGAGGGGTGATATAGGCAAAGCCTGTTCCTCCTTTTCATAATGTATATTTATATAATTGTGAATAAAATATTGATTAAAAAATAAAATAAATAAATAAAATATTGGACAATATGATTTCAAATAATTCTCCGACTTTTTCCATATATATCTATAATACATCATTTCGAACGGGTAAATAAAATTAAGACTTTTGACAAAACCGTCACCGAAATCGTGTCAATATGAGTTAAACGCTACCCGGGATATGTCAATAAGGTATAGAATGCATACCATACATAATACATAATTACAACAGATCTAGGTAACTTTCTCGCGATTAAATACTTATAGAGAGAATAAATATTGATATAACCTTAATATTATAACATACACCCACTATTAAACTGAAAGTAGTTTCTTTATGTCGAGTAATGTTATTCAAATTGTTGCCAGTCACCTCGAGTCTGTTGATATTAGTTTCGAGTCACAAAAAAGTTCAGAAAAAATATTATTTTACTACGAATTTCAAAATAGTGAAAGTATTTTGATAGCATTTGCGTTAATTTTATTTTGATGACTGGCAATATTTTGCTTTGACCATGTTTCATATACTTATATACGTTTCTATTATATAAATTATCTATTTCGCCATACACGAAAAATCTCAATTGCCCAACTCTATGGTATCCCAATGTGGTTTCAAAGTTCTATCCAAATCCAAAACGGTAATTCGTCTGATATATAAACTTACATAAAATTCATTTTTGATATATCTTTGCTTCAAATTTTCTACTATAGTTTTCTCATCTAATATCGACAGTAAAGCTAAATCATCTGTTTCACTTGGTCTGTTTCCTCTGATATGGAATCTGAAATAGGCAAATGGAACATCATGACATATTGCAAAGTTTAAAGGGTAACAAAGGGTGAAGATAACAGAAAATGCGCAATGCTGTTTTTCGTAGAATTATGTTTACTCCATTATATATATACTGAACAGATAAAGAAACGCCGAAAAGCACATAAAATAGTGAATTGTTTATTCAACTTTCAATAAAACAATAGATAATTGTCCGAAAACAACCACATTTGGCACAAGGATTGTTTGAGTGAATTTGATCACATGATCTTTATAATTGGGGGCTGTCAGTCAGTATCTGGTGTGTTCATTACGGTCCGACATGTTCTGTTGCTGGAATGGTAGAAACGCCATTGGAATCTGCGCCCAGACTCTTAGGAAAGCTACATTGAGTTCTGCTGCATTTCTTGGAAGTGATTGTCATAAACTGGCCTTTTTATGTCTAAAAATCATATTTTTAAAGAAAATAACAATTCTGATCGTGCACGACTTTGTCTTAATAATCTAAAAAATGCGACATTTCTTTATCTGTTCACTATATGTGTAGCGACTCCAATCTTAGGTGTCGACAACATATTTTCAGAAGCGTACATTTTGTTGTAATTTTGAATGATCTATTAAGGATAAAGGAAATGCATTAAGTACATACTTAATTTGGTACTGCACATAAATTTTACCAATTAGCTAAGTAATAAACCTCCTTGACGTTCACTTATTTTACGCCCACATAGAATCCTGAGCGTATATCACGCCCAGTACCTCCGACAAAGTTTCTAGTCTCTCTCTGATTTTTTTGATAAATGATAATTGTCATAACTCATAATTAATGTTAACTGTGAAGATGATCAGATGTCTTTTTTGCCAAATATATAGATTATGTATTATCATTATACGCGCATAATATTTTGCTACCATAAGCGTATTTGATCAGAATTCAAATACAGTCTAAATTTTAGATTATCTTAATGTCTGTTGTATGTCTATCGTGTAATGTCGATCATTTATTTGTTGGGCGGACGTTTCGCTTGTTGTTCGATTAACAGCATTAATCTAATCCGTTTTTCGAGTTGGCTAGTCACAAAGGGGATTAGATCTTGTGTAAGAAGAATTAAGTAAGGAAGTTAGACGACCGCTTTGACCTTCAAGTTGTACAGATTTCTTTTCTGTGCTGAGATTTATTTAATGTTTATCTCACAAAAGAATTTCTTTTTTTATTAGTTATGATAAAATATTGGACAAATGTTAACGCACAAAATACGGTCTACAAGAAACAAATTAATATTAGATCAATCAATTCAAATTTAATCATCCGGTGAAGATTGACGTACTTCAATAATGGGCTTTTCTCTCCAAATGCACTCCCATTGTTATAATGAGAAAATCGATTTGTGAACACAAGATACCATGTACAGATATCTTTAACATCATTGTGTGTATACTGTGTAAACTCGCTGGTAAAGTTGAAACTGAAATTGATACCACATGCATCACATATTGTATCATGGTGAAAGTGTGAAGTTATAGATGCAGAATGCAAGTGTAAGGTTAGCAACATGAAGAATATATTTATGCAGTAACATTCAACCTTCTTTCATACTGCTTGCAATGAGGTTCGGAGAAGGGTAGAATTTGACATCGTCTATGCACACCAGCCCTTTTAGAGCTCTTTTAGAAACACCTGATGATACTTCTCTTTGAAGGTGTCCACTACCATATCACCTTTACTCCTGATCTTGCCATTCTTCAGTCTAAGCTGTGGTGAAAACGTACACAAAACAATGTACTGTGGAATGCACTTATGAACTTGAGTAGATGACGATTATCACTGTCATTATTATCATAAGCCTTCACATGCTAATATCAAATATCAACAAGTATTTTTGATGAACGGAGCTATGAATATCATTCCACGATATCTTTGAAAATGCAATGCTGTGTGATAGGGAAAAACCTACAATTGATACTTCTTGTTTTACTCCTGATTTTGCCATTCTCAGGTCGAGATATTTGATTGGAGGAATTGTTGTGCTTTATACGGACTTTTATTAAACTTATCAATCTTTCGAAGTACTCTACATTAACAACTCATGAAAACATGCAGATTTTTAAAAAGATTGTGGTGCTGAAAATCAACAAACTAAGAAAACATTTCTGTGAAAACTACTTTCTAAAAACCTTATGCAAACGATTGGGTGTTTGGAAGCAAACAATTTGCTTTTAAGTTTCTTGAAGAAAAATTGATATCTGTCAGAAAGATCGTGAACTGGTACTAAGTACTGTCAATCTAAAAGTTCAAACAAATCAATAAAGGAATAAGAAATAAACGACTCCGTCCCCGAAATCTATGAAGCCTTAAACATTTCTTAAGAGACGTTAAAATTTGTACTCAAAAGGCGTAAGTAAAGTGTAAAGCAGATAAACAATGTCAAAATAGAACGGGCAGAAGGATGGGCGAACAAAGATTTAAAAAATGGCATGTGGTCCGGAACACCACTTGAGGAACACACTTTTTTTAACCAGAAGATAAAATAACGATGAGGGAAATCACGTAAATCACTTCTATTTACATCTAATAAAACTAAAAATAAGTTCAAGCAGCGTACTATAGTGCTATCGCCCTTCGAACTTTGACCTATTAGAGGTTTCAAAATTTGTTTGTAGCATGTTCACTAGATTCTTTTAACATCGATTTCCAATTGATGAGGGTTCTCATACAATAAAGACCGACATCTCTGTAATTTAAGACAAATAGCTATGTTTGAAATGAAAGCTCACAAATGTCCATGAAATTTGCAGTATTTCTTTTGAATCGATATGACACTTGTATGTATCTTCTTCTATCATTTTTTTCTCTTTGCATTCAGACTGTTCGAAAAAATACGAGAAATTGGTTGCTGTGGTATATCTGAGAGAAAATGCCTCAAATCTCAACTCAAGAAATTCTTCCCATTAAATGTAATTCACAAAAGCAAATAAAAATAGTTTGGTAATGTGTATATGTCCCCGTGATATCTTAAATCATCTAAGTATTAGTCTGTACATTATCTATATTTTCTGTTTGAATATCACTTAACTAGTCTCTTCCCTCTCCTTTGATGCTTTTTCGCCGCAGTATTTCTAGATCAAAGAAAATCTATATAGTTAGATAGATGAACTGTTAAAGGTATACTACATCTTAAGATGACCAAACATTGAAATTGTCAAACTTGGTTGAACTGAATCTTATATCGTATATTGTCGTCACCCATGTCCGTCCGTCGGTCCACAAAATTGAAAATCAGAAAAATCGAAAAATATTTAGTATGAGTTATTGACCTTGCTCTTAAAAACACGTTCAAGTTTTAGTCTGTAAACACTCTAGAAGACACAATTTATGGCAGATTTTGACGAAACTTAGTAATATCATACAGTATCGCCCCAAAAAGTTCAGGTTGAAAATTTCATACTGGTAATTGTTACTGCACTGTCAAATATTTTTATTTAAAATCAAAGCTGTCAGTGGGCATATATTACCTTGCCTGCCAAGCTATCTTGAAACATGCTTAAAAGCGTTATAGTTTAATGGATATATCGTCTTATATAGAGATTTCATTTTTCAGTCATGGAACCCGGCAAGTCTTAAATAGTGAATATATACTCTTGTTGACCATGTTTGAGACTTTAAATTTTCATGTCCATTCTCAGGTAGTAACCTTTCAAATACTGCAGGTAAATTTGTGATTTCAAATCTTCAAATTCTACAACTTAATGTGACACTGAGTTTGTGATAAAGTTAATCTAATTCAATCAAGCTAATATTTGAGACCACATCTCAATACACGACCTATCAACATCGTCACCAAACTGTCAAAGTTAACTAACAAAATAGTAAAAGGTCTTTGTGCTGAGTTTGACAGCACATTTTCTAAATGTTCAGGGAATTTAAAAATTGTTATGTGCAATATGTCCGATGCCAGTAACATAGAATTATTCGTCAATTGGGAAATGAAATGAAATGAATTGAATGGAGTCTTGCGTCCTACTTTGTGGACTAATGAAGACCGGTGCGATTAGGGAAATTTTACCAGGACAGGGCATTAGCCTGCTCTTTTTCGATTTCCAACTGTCGAGGGATCTTTAACGTACACAGCCTGTAGAACACGGAGCCTCTGTTTATTGTCCCATCCGTACGACTAGACGCTTTTTCCATGTCAGCCCCTCTTACCTGCATCACTGACAGGGGGAAACCGGGTTGAAAAATCCGAGGGTATTATCTCGACCTATGCCGGGATTGAACTCTGGACCTTCAGGTTAGTAAGCAAGCGTCTAACTCACTGAGCCGCCGCGGCTCCCCTCGTCAATTGGAAGAGGGCGGAAGGCGGAACTAGCTCGTTAGAGGGTACCAGGAAATCACATTCATATTTTTAATTATAGTCACGCCTAGAAGGTGACTGTCTCACCTACCACACAAAATGAAATAAAACGAAATGAATGGAGTTTTACGTCCTACTTTTCTGCACCATGTGGGCCAAATCAAGACGGGAAACACCATGCAGGGTGCAATGAGGAAAATTTTGCCAGGACCGCAGCATTATTTACGCCAACAAAACATTATGAACAGAAACCTTGCCCGTCACACCATAGACGATATAGCCTTCTTGCGATATTGATGAACTTTAGTAAGGTTTTTCAGAATATGATCTTACTGTTTCGATGAACGGTTTTAACGAAAGAATACCAAAGTCTCAAAGCCATTCGGAAAATCCATGGACAGGACAATATCGGGTTGAAATTTGGAACTGGAAATAATGAGATTTCAGATTAATTTAATGCTGACTTTTCGACGCTTCTGTCAGTAAGCTTCGTGAGTAGTTTGAAGGTTACTTAGCTTTTCCATTTTTAGTCGTTCTTTAATATGTTTATCATGCTGAGTAATGCTGTATATTTCACTTACAAACCTCAAAGAAGGAGCTATTTTGGAATGTCTAAGCTGTGGT